AGTGGAATGATCAGTGAAATTTAATGCCGCCGTAATAGTTATAAGACACCTTCCCATTTAGGTAGACACACCACACGAAGTTTATCTTTAAAATCAATTTCATTGCCAGCTGATATTTGCGCATGATGTGATTGTTGATACTTTAAAATGTATTTAAACTATCAAGAAATTATCGGCATTGATACCTCGGTAGGTGCCATACATTTTTACCTGTAGGCAGGTACTTTTAATCTTATTTCTTTTTTAAATCAATTTCATTGTCAGGTGAGATTTGTTTTGATATGATTACTGAATCTTTAGAAAACAGATCATCGTAGGTGCACACAGCTGCACGTTTAAGTAGGTACTCAACATCTATGTTGAATATGATAATTTATTATTTTGTTGGCACAGTATTTCGTTAGGGTAATGTCAACAATCGGTGTACCGTGGTCAGCTTAATGTGACCAGGTGGAATATTATGCTGGGTGCCTTCTGGATGGTAATGTTAATGAGGTAGCACTCCAATGCCGGCTTCCAGATCAACGCTATCGCAGGGAGGCAATGCATTAATATACTCTGTCTCAATCACACGTACACATGGCATGATCGTAAGAGGCGACTAAATTTGGGATCTTGACTTTTCTCTTCTTTCTAAACAACTTTCTCCTTCATAATGTGTCCCTTGACAATGCCTCACTTTTGCCCTTTAGTTGAGCGTTCGCCCCTGTGAGGAAGGCTTTGGGTTCTGTCCCCCGGCCGAGACATACTAGAGTGTGTAAAAATGGTATTTTTTTTCCTGCTTAACGCTCAGCAATTTAGGAGTAGGACGACTGGTTTACCCGTTGTCAGTATAATGTGACCGGGTGGGGTGTCCTGCTGGGTGACTTCGGCAGTATATTTCTGTGAGGTAGCACTATGAAGTCGGCATCAGTTCCGCGCTATCACAAGGAGACAAACACGAACATATCGAAGCCTCCCAAACACACACGCATACAATACACGCATGCATCTTGCACACAGGGGAGGCCGTCCTTAAATGACCATATCTGTTGATAGGAAGTTAAACAATGATAAACCAAACCAAACATCCATCGCACACATCATTAAAAGACCTGATCTGTTCATAGGACGTCAATAAATAACAAGAGGCCCTTGGGCATTAACGGTCACCTGAGTCCTACAGTATTTATTTTTGTTGTTGAAATATGTACCAATTTGAGAACAAAAATAGTTAAGCATAACGTTAACTTAAGATTGTCAGGACCATGAGTCGATCATTCCTACAAAGTTTCAGTTCAATCGGCCCAGTAGAACTTGACTTAAAGTTTGTAATAGTTTTTCAAAATGGCGGCCGTGTCGGCCATATTGGATTTCTGATCGAACCGAAAAATAACAACACTTTGTCAGGACTATAAGTCGATCATTCCTACAAAGTTTCAGTTCAATTGGCCAAGCAGAACTTGACTTTAAGTTTGAAATAGTTTTTCAAAATGGCGGCCGTGTCGGCCATATTGGATTTCTGATCGACCCGAAAAATATTAACAATTTGTCAGGACCGTGAGTCGATCATTCCTACAAAGTTTCAGTTCAATCGGCCCAGTAGAACTTGACTTTAAGTTTAAAATAGTTTTTCAAAATGGTGGCCGTGTCTGCCATATTGGATTTCTGATTGACCCGAAAAATAACAACACTTTGTCAGGGAGATGTCAGTAACCTTCTCATGAAATATTAACGAAATCCCTTTGCCAGTATTTCAGCTTAAGTTGAAAATGTAAAATGTTAACGGACGACAGATGATGGACGACGGACGACGACGGACGAAGACGGATAGCAATAGGTCACTTGAGCTAAAGCTCAGGTGACCTAAAAACCAAATCATACCCATTGTTCACAGTTCTAGTCCTATAATTCTAATGGTAGATGTAGACTGCAGACGGACAAACATACAAGTTAGGGGGTTTCGAGAGATATAGGTGGATGAGGGATATGGGCGAGTTTAATTGTCGACATCATAATAAAATTGAAGTATTCCTTGTTTTCGATGAAGGTAGATGGTTTTGATTATGCTCACTAATGTTTTTCGTTGTTGTGTAGTCACCACCCAGATTGTCGACCACAGCATGGATTGTTACTTTGAATGAACTAGATTTTACAAGATGGGTATCTTGGATGATGCGGAAGACGCTTAGCCTTCCGGAACACCTGGTCTTATTCTCGTAGTTCTTTTTCAAGGGTCTCTATGTCAATATTTCCTTTGTTCATTTTCTTTTAGCAACTTTGAGTTCGACTTACAGTTTCGATGACCTCTTGTGTATTCACATTGTTTACCCCTTACAGACGAAGCAAACTAAAAGCGTTGGACCGTTATGCTGATTTGAATACAATCCTTTTCTGAGCTTTACCTTTGAACAAAGTGATTGAATCAAAACTTATTTTATACATATTTTAATTTCTATCGAATAAATTTAAATCTTAATTTCGTATTGCCCTTCAAATTTGAGGTAGATTTTCATTATATACAACTGCGAAGGGTGGTCTCATGGCCAAGTGGTAATCCAGTTTCCTCCCATATTAAAACCCCGCGCGCTATCATCCGGGCCAACAGGAGTGATTGATGTTAGTGGAAGTTGAAATAACTTGAAATAAGTTTTTTTCATAATTGTTTTAAAAATAATTTTGTATACATTAACTAACTGCGAACGGATTTGGCAGCAATCTCCAACACAATTATTGGTTGAACATGACAGATACCTTAGGGATCGATATTCCAAATGATCATTTATATCCGTCTAAGAAAAATATAAAAATAACGTTTTTTTACGTTTAAGTTAACGTAAAATGATCATGTTTTGTTAAATGCGAACAACAAATAGACAACCAATATAGAATTTCGGCAGTACAATGTGTTTCCCTGAATACCGGATATATCACAATGACACCTTGTTTACATTATCGTGTGTTGATTACTTAAGCACAATACCTCAACACCCACACAAAGTTTTAACCGTCAGGGTGGAATAAAAATACTTTATAATATACACGCAGTTGCATACGAATTATGAAGTATTTAAAGAATTTATTTTTTGCTAGTCTTCTGGTCGGGTTATCTTACAAAAACATTTTCCAGTATGATTTCATCTGGCTTACTTACAATGGTAAGTAAAGCAATGGAAGGAACTCAAACCATGTAAAAATCAGACGTAAAAGTATGAGAATCAAACTGACGAAAGTTTGAAACATAAAAAAAATCAGCAATTTGTCATTCATCCCTTTCAAACAACTGTTGTCAATAGCTTGTTCCCAAATGTACTCAGTACTCCCGAAATACGTTTTTTTTTTATAATATAACTGATCTCAAACAGTCAATATCCCTACCATTCTAACCTACCTCACAATTGTTCGTCTGCTTATAAAGATAAAACTAACAATGGCAATTTCACTTTCCAAGTTGACGTTTGTCTTTAACCTTTATGTTCATTTTAACATATTTAATTTACTTTCTATTGGTTCTAATGACCTCTTTTGGTGTTGACGGGCCGTTAAGAATAGAATAACTTACTAACTAACAGAACAGGTAAGGTCATACATTATCTCGGCAAAACGTTACGTTTCATGTCAGTTCCTTTGTTAAAAACGTTATATTTACATTTGCTCTGCATCCTTCCATTGCAATGCATTGAGAAGGCAAATGTTGTTATGAGACTATAACAACATTTGCTATTGTAACGTCATCAATCTCTATTTTGACGTCATCAGTTTCATTGTTGTCAAGACTTTATTTGCCCTTCGAAATAACTAAATAAAACGTAACTACTCTATTAAAATGTAAATATAAATAATAACTTATTTTAGCAAATGTTATGGTCCTATAACACATATTTCTATTGCTGACAAACTTACAGCCCTGTCGGGCTTTATTAAGTTTGTAAACAATAGCAATGTGTGTTATAGGACCATAACAACATTTGCTAAAACAGTCATTGCCTTAATATAACATTAAAAATCCACCGTATCTCCGTACAATTGTCATATAACATGCTAGTATCCCTGTAACAAGTCAATTAAAAAGTTTCTATTTATTAAAATAAAAAAGCAGCTAATGTATAGCTCTATTAAAACCTGATAAGGCATATTTATATCTCCGTGAAAAGTCACCTAAAATCAATCCGTTACTTAGCGACACATGTCGATTACATATTACATTGTTAATGAGCGTTCGTTCTGTGTCGTGTTTCAACAGCAGCGTCATCACAAGTTTTGCATAGCCCATATTAGAGTTTACAAAGCGTACATTGACGATGCATTGTAAAAAAATCTGTCATCCAATCGTTTTCATTATGACGTCACAATTACGAACAAATCCGCCTATACTACTAAGAACACAGAGTTTTCCACATAGCTTGTGATACGAACCAATTCTTTGCATTTAAAGTAAAGGGGATTATTGAATTATTTAAAAACGGTTAGAGTGATAATAACAGGAATGATTATTTTTTTAGATGCAGTGACTCTCAGGGGTTTTAAATATAAACTGCGTTTATTTTAAACAATGATGTAACATGCTATGTCAACATATGTTTTATATCACGTGTTGACCCAGGTGTTGTCCCAGATGTTTGCCCGCATTGGGGCTTACTTTAGTTACTATTACTTACTTTTACAACAACAGGAGTAAACTGATATCCTCGAAATGATTGAATGTTAAAACAAAGGCACACTGTAGCATTAGAGTTACATCATTTTAACTAGATCAGAAGTGAAGAAATTGTGGAGTAGGAATGGCGGGTACATTAACACGTCGGAATAAAAGCGAACAGTACCTTAAAAGTTTTGCATTCAACAACATTCATATTGCATAATCCTGGAGCAATGTATTCATAGACTATTATAATGTTGTAGTTAGCCTTGTAACTTAAACCCTAACGACGTAATAACCAAACGGAAACAGAGTTCTTAGCCGACAAAATCATTTCTATTTAAGAAATATATGGAAATTTCCTTTTAAAATCCCCTATTCGACGGATGGATGCACCCGTGCTATTTGAGCTGCGTCAGAGTGACGTGAAGGTTACATGTTACCGGGAGAGCTCAATGTAGGCATGTTGGTGAACAAGGTAGTTGCATAGTTAAATGGTCAGACTTCAATCTCCAGAAAATGTGCGGACGGTAGAGAGAACAATACATTCGTATCTGTGTGGGCATATTGTGATTCTATGAAACCAACAGTGACAGCACAGAACCTTATGATGTGGTAAGTTACACTTTTCGTTATTAATTACCTAACACCCGTGTGATATTTATATGTTATATGCGGTACTTATCCGTGTATGTACAACAGTTAAGTGTTGTGTGGTGTATATGTTTATGGTATAGGTAAAGTAGAGTTGAGTTATACTGCATCCATGACACCAAATTATCTATTTGATTTGCATCTGAATTCGTTAATTACACTGAGTGTTAAATACCACTCCTGATAGACACAGGCTTATACAGTGTAGTGTGTCTATTAAATCGGCGACCACTCCAAGCAACGGGTTTGAGGCTAATATGGTGGCACTTTTGTTGTTTTGGGCAACGTAAGCGTGTTAGCTGCGGAGCTGACGTATAGGCGTAAGAACCTACATTTGGTTGTTGAGTGGTGCTTGATACGTAGTACGCCTAAATATATTAACCATATTCCCTACGGTTCATTATCAACAAGAGAAGTAGTCATTTTTTTCCTTCTTTTTTTCTTTCTTTTTTTTTCCATTTAAGAAAGAGAAGAGAGAAGTATTTTGTAAAATTGCACGTAAGACCATAATTGCGATATTTTTGTCACGTGATATTTATACTTGTTTTCTCCCTGAAATGGAACACGTATTTTTTTTGTATTAGCACTGCAACATTTTAGCGCATATGACATGCATGCGTATAGGAAGGGCAAAACGTTAGCTCAGAAATGAAAGCTGGAATAAGTTAAAAGAAAAGATAACACTGACATAACAGCATTTAAACTTTATTCTGATTAAAGGGACATCATGGCGAAGCATATCTATTTTTTATGTTTCCCCCCAAATACTACATAAACATATCAAGTGAGTCTCCTTATGAGAAATAACGGTCGGATTTGGCTGATATATATTCAAAATGAATAATTTTAAGTTAATTATCGGGGTTCTAATTTTTGACCAACATTTTGTTCGAGGATTTTCCTCTACTAGCGCATGCGCATAGCACACCATTCCATTGTAAACAAAATGAATGGCCATGCGAATTTAGCGAGTGAAAATCGTGACCGCGTCAGCTACGAAGCGAAAAGTAGCCAAATGGTCAAAAGATAGCGCAAGGATTACGTTACGGAAGCATTATTGCAGGTGGGAAGTATTCATAGGAGAAAACAACTGCCCTAGCAGTTAGTACGGTGCATGTATTCTGCCGGATAGGCGGTACAAAGATGAAATGGAATCGACACAAATGATGTTTATGATATGAATAAATATCTAATAAATATCAACCTCGCTAGTATCTTACACAGATGAAATTATTTTGTTATGTTAGGAGAGAGTTTACTGTTGTTATGTCCTCTCCGCTGTCGGTACTCGGGGTCAAATGAGATACGTGCGCTACTAGACTTACATAATTTACATTTTTTTATATGCAAGATTTAAGTATATAAAAATGACGGTTCAAGATGACTAACTGAGGAATGAAAACTTACTTATAGTAAATAGGATCGCATCACAAAAATACTTGAAAAAAAGTCATTTGTTTACGACACAAAAATGGGGCTTGCTACCGATAACTACAGCTTCTGTTTTGGACAACAGGAACTGATTAAAGAAAAGTTACCTTAACAAAAAAGGGCCCATTAACAAATGTGCTTTAATCTCTGTAAAGTATTGCAAACATGTAATTATCAAGTATCTCAACACGTTCCTTATCTGACACATATTCTGCATGCACACGAGGTGGTTTCGCCAGAAATTAGTATTGTGTGTGATGGCTTATATGACTTTCTAAGTGTTAGCGTATGGAGACAGGGAAAGTGGGAAAGAGAGTATACAGGAATATTATAATACTCTTTCATGCCCAGCGGTGTAGGATAGGGATATACCACCCGAGGGGTTTTCAAATTTGGTAAAACCCGATGCTTTGCCGAGGAATATATATATGCATGGTCTAGAAAAAAGTGGGCAAAGTGAGTCGTAATAAAAAAAAATCACAAACTTTTCTCCTTTTTTTAATACTTGTCAATGCATATATTTACTTAATGAAAACATTTGAAATAGGATATTCGTCTCGTGAATATTCCTTTTTACAGAAAGGTTTGTCCCATGGTTGAGGGAGGTGTTCAGCCCCGTATAAATTTGTACCGATCACATTTCGGTAATAGATATTTCCTGCTGTCTAAAAATAATGCCGAGAGGCCAACACATATTTCTACATTTAAATTTTGAATAATGGCACGTGTGCAATTAACTTCTGATGATGAATAATTACTGCTAAGGGGATTCAATAAGTTTCAATACGGACTTGGAAATCATATTACTTGGTTTCATAGTGCGGCAAGAAGTTGCAATTGTCTGACGGCCCCTCACTGGGGACCCCTTTTGAATCTCGGTCAGACCACCTGTGTTTACTGCAACATTTCTAAACCGTCACGTGACGTTATTGGTACTATTTTTAACAGGGCATTCCGGAACAATTCAAGTGGTCAAACTGGACATTTGGAACGGACTATGAATATGGGGATAGCAAGGTAACATGAGTGGAAGTGCAAAGTCCCTTTAAAACTTGTTTGTGGTAGTCTTGGGGAAATATGGAATGTAACATCTAACAGGACCAGCGAGTTCTAGCTGGAACACATACTAATGTTACTCTGTAATTGTCATGTTACGGTCAAAGAATTTGACTAATAGCGTGTGCCCATTTAAGATGTGTATTGACACAAAAGGCACAATTCAACAATATTGCATAATTACTATTATTAAATGCAATAATGGCGAATTAAAAAATGCTTATGGACTCAAGATCGGCTACTAACCTATCTAGGTATGTGTAAAGCATAGGCATCTCCTTCTTTTTTAACATCGAACACACAAGAGAGTTTTGATACATCAATTGAAAACAATTTCTACAGACCATCTCACTTCATTTCAAGACTGAAGTATAATCTTAAGATTGGTAGAGGCACAGGGTCACGTTACAATCACAAGTGTATGTGTATGTGTATTGTGACCCATATCATTATAGCAAATGTGTGATTGTAACGTGACCCTGTGGTAGAGGTTTGTTTGGCAGCAACGATGTACTATTTTAATGTCTTTCAGTCTGTTATTAGATTTTTGTTGCTAACGAAATTTTATCTGACATGTTGGTTTGAATGACATATTAAGTAAAAATACTTCTTGTTTACAATAATGACTTTACAGAGCCAACAATTTCTTGAGATACTCTTCATATGTCCATCAGATGCTTCTAAATATAGTTCACAAAGTGTATTCAATTACACAGGCCTTGTTCTTGCGGCTATGTCTGTTTTATGATGTGACGTCATTATTTAAATACTTCCCGGCAACACAATTCACCTATTATGTCATCCGAATCAAAGCAGTCGAAACCGTTACACTTACCTATGGAGGGAGTCTTAATCCTGCCGGTGAAATGAGTGTTTATATTGGAAGAAATGAAACAAACAATTCCAATAACGTACTAGTAGAGTTTGAAATTTCCCCATATATTAGTTTGAGAGTTCCCATCGTTATAACTTCAATTGGTTAATACTAATGGTTGTTTGTGGAGCGTTAGATCTGCATGTGTATGGTACACAGTTTTTAGAACATGAGTTTTCATTTTAATTTCGAGTAGGTATGTGGTACATGTTCCACCTATACAATCATAATGAATTAAACATTTTAAGTTAACATAGGTTTGTTTGTTTGTTTGTTTGATTTTGTTTCACGTCCTATTAACATCCATGGTCATTTAAGGACGGCCTCCCCTGTGTGCAAGATGCATGCGTGTAGTGTGTGTGTGTGCCAGGGGACAGAACCCAAAGCCTTCCTCACAGGGGCGAACGCTCAACAAATGGCCAAAAGTGAGGCATTGTCAAGGGAGTCATTAGAAAGAAGAAAGTTATTTAGAAAGGAGAGAAGAGATAAGGTCCCAAATTTAGTCGCCTCTTACGATCATGCAATTGGGGGCAGCAGGTATAATTCTTACGCCCTACCTGCAGGGCAAGTTAACATAGGAAACATCAATCAGAAATATATAGTTGTAAAACAAGGCCGTGAACTTAACAGTTAAAATCATGTATCACGCTATTATTAGCTGAATGCAAAAAACAGTTTGGATCATTATCTTGGATTATACCCCATTTCTCTATTGGAATTAAATGTGTATTGATAACAATAAGTTATGAATTGAGGTTTTTTAATATACAACTAAAGCCGGAGTAGATTACTATTACAATAACAGTTTCCGTGTAATTTTTGCGTTGTGTTACAGCCATTAATCAATAATGTAAATGAGCTGTTGTGTATGTAAGGTTTAAAGATTTAAAACGCATATCATTGGTTCTAATATAAGAGTTGTCGAATTGGGTTGTGGCTTAAATGTGTCCTCCCACCTAACCAACCTTTGTTCTATTTTTATCTTATCAAGGTCAGATGTTTTTATTGGCTTAGTGTTGATCGTAGAACTAGAGCCATAAATACTGGTATTCGTAATAGTCTAATTAAATATTGTACAAATAACTATAAAACGATTTAATACATATTATTTTAATTTATTTATCTATCAAACTCTTAAACGTATAATCTTTTTTTTAAATCAAGTGCTTAGTAAAACAATTCATGAAGTTTAAAATGTATATGTTAATTCCAATAAAGACACGTCATATAAAATTTGTAAATAAGATAAAATCAATTAACGGAGTCATCGACATCTTTTTTCAAAATTACAAAATGGGATATACTGTATATCAATTATGAATTTTGTTGAGATGAAAGAGTTGTTATATTAGCATGAAAAAGTGATATTGACCGAGGCGAATCCGAGGTCAGTATCGCTTCCTCGGGTTCATATTACCAAATATTTACCGAAATAAAAGACCTTATTGCTATATTTGATGCTAAATAAGTTTTTAATCATTACAAATCCGACAATATGGAACGTATGGAAATTATATGGAGGAAAATAGTGTATTTGGCAGAGCATTATGACTTTCAGTTGAAATGACGTCATTAAGTGAATATTGACCCATTGTTTCTAAAAATAGTAACCCGAGTCGATACCACAAATCACCGACCTGCACTTCATTATGGTCATATCAACGAGAATGTCGGAAAAAGTAGTGTTATCTGATAATTGTTTATTTATATACCTTTGCATTTTATTATAACAACGACATCAAACAAAGTCTGTGTTATTATTATTTTATCTCAATTCAAATATCATAAATATAAGTAGAGAAACATGATTCCACTGTCAACACTCTCTTATTATCACTCGCGAGGTTATGGGGAAGGAATCTGACTAGATCCTCCGGCATGTTGTCACAGAAGGCGCATAATGTGGAACCCACTGCAGAATATCGAGGGTGTTCTTCTATGTATTCTGCTAGGGGTGACATTGGAGGAACAAACATTGATGGGCTGCCCCGGTGGCAACGCCTTTCTTTTTGCGGTGGCTTACTAAACAACCGCCTTCACATACCCTTGCCTGTTTCAAGAGAGTTAAAAGTCAAACAAACAAATATGAAAAACACGATTGCCAATAGTGGATGACAGAGTACTCCTTTTAGAAAAAAAAGGTTTCTGTCTGACACTTTGTCAAATCATAAGGGGGGGGGGGGGAGTTTACACATTTTGTACCGTGTTTTTTTCACTAAGAGAAAACATCATAAAAATAATTTGTTCCGAATATTACATCTACACAGGATAGTATTTTATTAACTCTAACTATGGACACAAGCAATGAGCTCTCAAGAATTTCATTGCACCCGGAACTCTGGTTGGCTCTCGATACGGTTTTGACTGTTTTAAAAATATGAACTGAACACGTTCTTATTTTCTTTGTTTTTTTCTTTCAACGATCTTAAAGTTTATGATGTTGATACATATAAATCATATGTGATCAATCGTTTCTGGTTATCTGTACAATAATTGATTGGACTATAACGATTACATGTAATTAAGACTCTAGTTCTACGACCAACATCTAACCAACAAAAACATGACCTTGAAACGATAACAATAGAAAGAAATGTTGGGGTGGGAAGACACATTTCAACCATTAAACCACCTGACCACCCTTGATATTATCCTACTTTAACCGGTGATATATTTTCTAATCCGGCATGAAAAAAAGGTATCAATTGCCCAGCCGACCACGTGAGTGAATATCAGTTTCCTCCAACATTAAGGTAATATTGTACGCATCTGTCCGGGTGATCAGGAGTAATTCGCATACGTTTGTTTCATAACTGTTGTGAAATGAATCAACATGGAGCTACCCTTCCGTTTATATTCTGAATGTGTAGATGAAGATACTTACGTAACCATGTCTTATAAAAGCGATACCAGCGTATTTTTAATTATGATGTCCGGCCTAATTGTTATGTTTACGGGACTTTTATGTACATGTATATACATCATATTACAAGAAGATATATATGTACATGTAACTGTTCTGTTTCACTGTGTCTTGAAAAAGGAGCGGATCGCTCCGAAAATTTGACAACCTAAACTTGTCCACACTGTTGGAATTACCTTTTTGCCCCATACATGTATATATATATATTGATGTTACGGCGACCAATATTCTGTTTTAATTCCACTGATGTACCTAACAATCTATCGGTGTACCATCTTTAAGAATACTTTGTTTTGTTTATGTGTGTATACTTTACCATTCTACATTATTCTCAACAATGTCGCACAAACGTTTTTGAAAGCTGCCTTAAGGTGTTTCTGGAAGTATAGCATAAATAGGATGTAAGAAAGCACCCGTCGAAAATCCTATCGAGTCGATCTAGAAAACCAAACAAAGAATATTTACTGCGCCATATGGCCATTTAGTCTATTCAGGACGAACTTATACGCAAGGCACTAAGTGTAAAATGAATGAAAAGGATTGTCCAACAAAACAGGAGGGTTTTAAATCTCTTGGTTTTGACGACGGAGCTTCCGGGTTGTCTATCACATAAGCATGATGTTGCAATTTTCGATATTGAAAGACAGTTTTCACATATCGTCTCGTTCCAGGAGTGATACACCTAGCACAATCAATTGTAATTTGATCATTCTCAATGTAGTTATCTGGAAAGAGATGAACGTTAGGTCAAGTGCTCTTTGGTAGGTCTGTAATGTACACGAGAAGCATAAGAGGACATAACGCATTCCGCTGATGCTGCGTTCAAAGTATTTCTTTACTCGACTACAAGTTAAACTCGAGTCCAGGTGAGCTGAAGGTCACGTTGACGTGAATTTTCTGTCTAATTCATTAACAAAAATATTGAAATAAAAAGTTTAAATTCGAAGTAGATGGTTGCAGACCAGATGAATAAAGACAAGAGTCGCTAAATATATTTGTCAGATTATTCTTAAAAATCATATCTTGAAATATGCCATCAACGATCAGTAAAGCTTGCCAGGCTTTGAACAGATAGATCCAGCTGATTAAGAGATAACTTATTCTGGTATTCATCTTCCAACGCTGCTTCACAGAATTAGCTTGTTTTGGAGTCTTTAGATGCGATACTCATCAAATGCTAAACAAAGACCATGAGGATAAGGTCCAGCTTCTATTATTTACCTACGTCCAGTTTGGATGATACGTTTTGAGGACAACACAACGTTTGCCCCACAAGACCTGCCAGACATGAGTACAGGTAGTTTTTCCATAGAGATTGTTGTGTGACGTCACGTACTCATTGGTGGCGCTGACTAGGATATGGTCAGTTATTCTCTTGGTGAAAGGCTAACAGATCTGTAGTAAGGCGCATGATAAAACGTTATTCTCTTACATCTGACAAGTCAGGGGGATATTGGCAAATGTCCAACCAGCTTGTGATTCAATATGAGGGTAGTAACTGTATATTTGTTTTGCGTGTTAGAAATGAATGTAACTATTACCTGGTATAATACATTACGTTTTTTATCACAATAATTAAAACAACGGGAAACGTAATCATAACATGACAAAGCGCACGTTTCAAATTGCGATTTAGGTGGTCAGGTTATTTCTTGGACCAAATGTCTCTAATAAAAATTAATGCAATAAAGTTTTTAAAATATATATAATAATTAATTTATTATATTTTTATACTCCATTGTTCAGTCCTCTAGTTCAAATTTTATCAAAACACGTGGAAAAAACCGCATATCAAAATACAAGCGTTAAGCTGTTATGTAAGATTGAGATTTTTATACGGTTCTGTCATTTCCTCGGAAGTAATTCATTATAATATTTGTTTCTCGAAGATTAATTGAAAAAAACCCAGAACGTCATCTTCAAAAGGTATCACCGGTAAGTACCCGTGATTGAGATTGGTCTGTTCCTCATTGTAGATAAACCATGGAGTACAACACATTGTCCCACAACCGGGAACCGTCCAATGACAGCGGGCTCCCTAAAAACAGTCTAAGCAGTGATGCTAGAGAAGAAGACCAAACATATGTGAAAAATGCTTTTCCTGGAAACCCACCTTCGCCCATGCTAGGTTCATACTCTCCTAAATCCGAACCTGCTTTAGCACCATCGGAAATGAATTATAATGAGGTAAAATTGGACGTAAACACTTCTCAATACTTTTCCGGTCAGAAAGTGCCCCCTAGGACGGCTGAACCAAATTATGTCACGCTTCATCCAAAACCTGACAATCCTGTTAATATGGACATTGGCGACGTTATCAAGCAAGCAATTGCAGCAGGTCAGGAAAAGAACCCGAATTCTTCAGTTGTTATACACATAGGAAATGTAACAATTAACAACGCCCCTGATCCTACTTATTACGGGCACGTGACCCGACCCCCTCCTGAACCCTGTCTGCCCCATCAATACCACGACGTAGGACAGCCAGGAGGTAAGTAATTCATTCTCGTGTACAAAACACTGCACCATCTTTATAATATGTTTTTGTTAACTTTAGATTTGCTCTCCGTGCGAAAAAGACGGTTGACATGGTAATTAGTTATCATTGGTTAGGTTTCTACAAATACTTTCACATGGTGTTACAGTTATAGGTGTTAATTTAGGTATGTCGAATTCTCCTAATCAGACAGACCAATGGTAAGACGGAAGGGCGACAGACTGCCAATAAAGCATAATTCTATTTGTAATAGATGTCTTCGTTTATCAAATAATAAATGAATAAACAAATAACAGCAGAATCAACACATAATAGTTCTACAAATCGTATAAAACACATAAACACTACAAAATTGATTCTACCTGGGAAATTATCCCTAAAAAAATGATGGAATAGCCACCCAGACTGTATTTGTTTACAACAGTATAATGTCGTTCCATAAAACCAACAAAGTAAACATTTTACTGCATCGTACGACCACTTTTCCCATTGATCTGTTGCCCCATTGCAACATGTTGGATTTGAAATTTTCTCTACTTCCTGGAAACCTTTTAGTTCCTAGTGCCCTGCTTGACAATACCTCACTTTTGGCTATAAAGTTGTGCATTCTCCCAAGTGGGGTAGGCAATGGGTTCTGTCCCCAGGCCGGGCCATACCAAGGGAGGGTAGGCAATGGGTACTGGACCCAGGCCGGGCCATACAAAGGTAGGGAAGGCAATTGGTTGTGGCCACAGGCCGGGCCATACCACGGAAGGGTAGGCAATGGGTACTGTCCCCAGGCCGGGCCATACCAAGGTAGGGAAGGCAATCGGTTCTGTCCCCAGGCCGGGCCATACCACGGTAGGGTAGGCAATGGGTACTGTACTCAGGCCGGGCCAAACCAAGGTAGGGTAGGCAATTGGTTCTGTCCCCAGGCCGGGCCATACTAAGGTAGGGTAGGCAATTGGTTCTGTCCCCTGGCCCGGCCATACCAAGGCGGGGTAGGCAATGGGTACTGTCCCCAGGCCGGGCCAAACCAAGGTAGGGTAGGCAATTGGTTCTGTCCCAAGGCCGGGCCATACCAAGGTGGGGTAGGCAAGGGGTACTGTCCCCAGGCCGGGCCATACCAAGGTAGGGTAGCCAATGGGTTCTGTCCCCAGACCGGGCCATACCAAGGTAGGGTAGGCAATCGGTTCTGTCCCAAGGCCGGGTCATACCACGTTAGGGTAGGCAAGCGGTACTGTACCCAGGCCGGGCCATACCAAGGTAGGGTAGGCAATTGGTTCTGTCCCCAGGCCGGGCCATACCAAGGTGGGGTAGGCAATGGGTACTGTCCCCAGACCGGGCCATACCAATATCCTTATATATTCCCTGCTTAACTTTCAGCATTTAGGATTATCGCAACAACTGGTTCACCCGTTGTCAGTATAATGTGACCGGGCAGAATGCTGTTCTTGGTCCGCACTATAAAGTCAGCATCAGATCCGCGCTATCACTAGGAGGCAAGTACCCCAACATACCCTTCTCCAGCACACATACACACAAACACACATGCACACATGCACGTTTACACATCACGCACGGAGTTACGTCCTTAAATAACCTTAACTGTAGACAGGACGTTAAACAAAATAAAAGCAAACCAATTATGACCTTGAATGAGGGTCAGCATGTGTAGAGATACAGCTTAAGAAGGAATATGACAATACAACATTTGATACCATTACAAACCTTACGATATAGCGTACGGAGGCACGGTAGTTTAGTGGTAGGACGCCGGGCTCGTGACCGAAGGGTTGTGGGTTCGAGTCACGGCACGGCACTGTGTTGTATCTTTGAGCAAGATCTTTTAACTTTGTTGAATGCTAGCTGTTAGCGCCGAAATGGCAGCTCCGGCTGTGTGCTCCCCAGGGATTGGCTGGTTGCAAAGGCCCTATAACCACGGATAATAATTTGTGAACAGCTTTGAGACGACCTACAAACTAGGTTGTGATAAAGCGGTATATAAGAACCTCGAAGTATTATTATTATTATTATTTAATATTTGCCTACAGCAGCATTTCATTAGAACAGTACCAGGACACTTGGTCCACCAGCAGAGTCAACAATTTTGACTTAAATGAATAATGTAAATATAAAGAAAGAGATGCCTATTTAAAAAACAGTTTCTTGATGCGAAAAGTACAGCTTGTCATTGTGATATATATTTGATTATGCTAGTTGAACCAATATCTTGTAATTGATTCCATATAAAGATGATCATCTCCGTCGGAAAAGTTTATCAACATCAGAAGAAGAAATGTACATTGGTATTCCTGGTAATAGAACACCGGTGGAACACAGCGGGACAGAGCAGCCGTCCTTGATAGTTGACGACCATATCGACCCCTATAGAGAAACACAAAACTTCTTAATCCAATCCAGACCCAACTCCACAAGATCACAGGTATGTAATATCCAAAACATGTAACAGGAGAGGGAAAATGCACGGCCAGACCGGGGTTCGAACCCGGGACCTTCCGAACTCTAGACGGACGCTCAACCAATTGAGCTATCTGGTCGCCGACGATCGACCCAGTCCAGTTTCGCTACATTCCTCCTTCCTTTAATAAAGTCTTCGACCCCGAAGACACTAGACCCTATACTATATGCTGTGGGTATATTTCGTTGGGCGCCAAATGTAACAGGAGAGGAAAAATGCACGGCCAGACCGGAAAAGATATTTTTCTCATGTTTCCTAATGAAGTTTGTTGATTTTTGCATTGTAAAACATAGGATCATCGGTGGACTGTATAGCTAATATTGGTGGGTTCCAGCCAACGTCTCTTCTTAAACCGTGTTTATCTTAAATATTATTTGGTTGTTGAAAAAGAATTTGGATATTTTTATCAGGATGCACAACAGAACCTTGAAAATGTTTGTGAAACAACCTAAACAGATGGAACAAAACACATCTGGAAGCAGGATAATGTAGCTATCTAGTCCATTTGGGTGTTGTTTAAATTCAAACTGCTGTATCATTGAGCAGTGAGTTTTGGGCCATTCAAAGAGGTGACTGTAGGGCTAAGACAAAGTGTTTCTGTGTATATATCAACGACATTTATGATAAAATCCGGAAAATATGAAAGAAAATACAAAAGCTCACTTATCAATTATTCTTTTGGGTTTTAAATTAAGAAATACAGATTGATTGGTAACATCGGATAGATAAATGTATTTTTTTTTATCGAAACGACGTCAGGCTAAACTGAAATTTCTTCGAGGTATTTCTCCTTGAACAAACGTTTAAGAGGTAAGGAAACTATCCAAGATTATGCCATATGCGCACAGGAAACATATATTTAGGCTTTAGCTATTCCATTTGAATCTTTGCGTTACTCATTGAAATGAGTATATCTTGCTATGGATACATAGTTATTGAACTACTGCATGCATATACAATTTGATACACAATCTTTTTTATTGGCGATATTCCAAGTTGCTTTTCATCGCCGACGACTCTGTTGTAGCACACACAATCCTCCCCTCAGACGGAACAAAGGGATGCAGAGCCCGTCAAACCACATGGTAAGTTGATATATAAACAATAAACAGCAGTATTAAATTCTTCATGATATCCTCAGGTAAATACATGTATTGATGTATTTGTGTGTGAAGGAAGGGTGTGGGGTAGTGGGAGTGGATGTGTGCTAAAATGTCTATTTAGCTTGATGCCAGCTGTTTTGTAAAAACTTTGATTTCCGAACAGGATGTTATTGTCTATTTGTCATATTACACCTTAATTTGTTTTTCAGTTTTCAGACACAATATTACGTGGGTTAGTTATGGTTCATCTCCGTAAACAACGGCTCCGTAGCCAATCTTTAAAGACATGAGTACTTCGGTCAGTTGTCCAATCTTTATAGACAACATTACTTCGGACATTTGTCCAATCTTTAAAGACAATATTACTTCGGTCAAATGTCCAAACGTTAAAAACAATAGTTTCTGGTCAGTTGTCATATCTTAATAGATAATATAACTTCAGTCGGTTGTCCAATCCTTAGAGACAATATTACTTCAGTCAGTTGTCCAATCTTTATAGACAATATTTTACTATGAAAAGAGAAGACTTTATTTAAAAAGCAGAATCGGTATCGTGTTGGATATATGCAATTAACTGTCTGATATGTGAAACTTGTGGCATGACTGGTATAACAAATTATTCCAGTAAAGATATTTTGGACTTCAGCCAACAGGATGTCATTTTGTTTAAATAGTGTGATACTTTATCAAGATATTTTATTTGTTACGGCATTGAAAACCTCATTTTGAAGGATCATACTTCTGCTGCACATATAAATCTCCTGATTAAAAACTGAGGTATTTCGTAACCGACATATATGTTTACATAGTCTATGGTAGACATCTTACCAGACATAGAGGCGGAGGAAATAGTAGAAGTAAGAAAAAAGTACTACCTCAACCAATCAGCACACCAAATATCTCAGTCCGTTTTTATATAAAAAAAAAAACACGACACGTTTATCAAGACGTCTTTTACCTATGCATATATTGTCATGAATATCCTCTGTTCTCGTCAATAGTAACATAACAGCCTCCACACATAAGTACACACACACCCATCCACACACACACACTAACACACCTACCAGTAACATAACAGCATCCACTTCTCATTATTAACACACAAACTTCCCCCTCTTACTAGTAACATAACAGCCTCCCCTTCTCATTAGTAACACACAAACCTCCTCTCCGTACTAGTAACATAACAGCCTCCCCTTCTCTTTATTAACACACAAACTTCCCCCTCTTACTAGTAACATAACAGCATCCCCTTCTCTTTATTAACACACAAACTTCACCTCTTACTAGTAACATAACAGCCTCCCCTTCTCATTAGTAACACACAAACCTCCTCCCCGTACTAGTAACATAACAGCCTCCCCTTCTCATTATTAACACACAAACCTCCTCTCCGTTCTAGTAACATAACAGCCTCCCCTTTTCATTAGTAACACACAAACCTCCTCTCCCTACCAGTAACATAACAGCCTCCCCTTCTCATTATTAACACACAAACCTCCTCTCCGTTCTAGTAACATAACAGCCTCCCCTTTTCATTAGTAACACACAAACCTCCTCTCCGTACTAGTAACATAACAGCCGCCCCTACTCACTAGTAACACACAAACCTCCTCTCCTTACTATAAACAAAATTGCTAGTTTGAAGTAGAACATTCTTTATTATTCAAATATTATTTAACAGGCCCGGAGGGAAACCCTACCCAAATGACGATACACCCCCGACATTCCCCAGACGGTGTAAGTATGGTTTACTTAATGTGTAATAAGGGATGTTTTATTTGATAGTATGCTAACTGTAAAAGGGAAACGTTTCGTTTTACACATATTTTATCATACCGTGTCTTTGACCTTTTAAGTCAATTTATGATAACATGAAAATAGCCATTCTATGAAATAGGTAAATTACACGAATCCTCATGCTTGATATAATTGGTATACAGTAACGTCGCTTCACTTGCTTTTCTAGTCTCTCGAGAAGTTTGATGTCCAGCTGGTCAGGCAGGGTTCGAATCAACGTTGGACATGCGAATTGAAGCCCTCACAAACTTCAAAGTCTCACTCAAGATCACCATCCATCGACACATTAGATACCGATGTTACGTACGACAGTCATAGACAAGCACGTGACAGAAATCGTCCTACAGTGCCGTTAACCTTAGAGAGCGCGGGAACCCTCCAACCAACAGAACGGTGGCCGAATACAGATCCCAGCTACAAGACGACCTTTAACGAGGATAGGAGGTTGCCTTACTGTGGCGACGACAACACATTGGTGAAGGAGATATCGTCACCGGTGGGGGAGGAACTCTGCAGACATATCGGACAAAGGGTAACATATGTAGAAAACCCTGTCTACATGGCCGACCAACCCTTCAGGTCAACAAATAACCTGACGTCATCTGTCAACACGCAGAATATGTTAGGTAAGAGAGACCTGGCCGCCAGTTAATACAATATTATATATGTATTCACTAATTCTGGTTGTGTTTGTAGTTGTGGGTTCGAATCCCTGTGCAACAAACAACTTTTTTCTCTGGTTACTACACAGGTCACAAAACAATAGTATAAGTCTGTATCTCGAGGCAACCCTTGGAAATGTTAAGGCGTTACCGCGTCAAATATGTATGTTAAGCTAGTATTAAATAGGTTGCAGATAAACCTTCATGCCTACTATGATTATAATATGAGTAGTTGAAAAAAACCATCTGATATATTTCTATTTCGGATTTAATACATCTTGGTTGATCATATATATAGTTTTAAAGGCTCAGGTTGCTTTTAACAAAAACAGATATTAAATATTCCGGTTTGTAGTCAAAACAAACTTAGCCTTTATTATTTGTACCAGCCTTATGAATATTATTGTGAATGTATATATTTGTATACAGCAAGACACGAGAGACCTCCCCTGATCAAAAGAGTTAATATATTAGGAGAACACGGTTATTAATAGACCACCTCCATTAACACTCTACATCTATCAAGAAACCGCCTCAATTTAAAGCCTACCTCGTGTAGGAGACCTACTCTATCAAAGTACTCACTGTATTAAGGGACCATCTCTTTAAAAGATTACCTCTGATAAGAGACCATGTTTAAAACTGTTTACCGAGTCGGTTTTTAAAAGGTATCTGACATACGTGACCACTTATGAACGCCCTGAAGTTGGCATGTAATGATAATTTTGAGTATGCAGTATGTGAGTTATTAATAAAAAGTCATGATTCAATTATGTTTTTCCTGTCTGATATAGGATACAGTGGTGAAATGGTATGTAAAATTGACCAAATATCAACAATTTTAACTAATGCCTTTAAATAACATATATATAACATCTACTACTGCACTAGTTGTCAGTCGTATGACTGATCCCTGTTACTTAACACAGCTAAGTGGGATCAGTATTCCAAAATTGTTCAGCACATTAATGAATGTGTATATATATGTATACTATCAGGTCCACATAGCGTCTTAAGTCGGATCAGTATTACAATGATGTGCAGAACATTAATAAATCTCTCTATATATATCACATATATAGTTTTATAAATATTTTATGCATAAACAAAAGACAAGAGTTTTCTACCGATTTCTCCTCTTTAGACGTTATTCATGTTGACAGGACAACAACAACAACACAGGAAGTCAATACTTCTTTGCTCACCTGATTACTTTTCTCAGAAAGAGAAGACTTTTTGTGTTGTCCTGTCAACATGAATAAACAATTCCCCTGATGAACTGATGAACCTCTAAAGAGGAGAAATCGCTAGGGAATTCTAAGAAACTCTTGTCTTTTTTTTTTTTATATTCAACCATCACAAGGACTTTTTATCTGATTATATATATATATGCATATTTGTATCTGTTGCTAAGTGGCTTTGTTCTGTACATCCACACATCACTATATCTATGCACACATATTTTAATATTTTATAACTTTTATCAAACAATATTACGAACTGATTATATCATAACATGCCTTCCTTGAAATATATACGTGTGTCTCTGCGCTAGTCATACCAGGTACATAGTCAGACCATAACTATCTGTCGTGTTGACCTTCCAGTGTCATATCGATGACAGGCTATTCAATATACATACAGGGAAAACACGCAGATATGTTGTTCACATAATTTTCTTTTGAAGTAAAATGACTATATCATATATATGGCCGTTTAACGGACCGTAAAGATTACCTTTCCTCGATACACCTAAAAAGTAAACAGGTGAGCAGATCTTAAATAAAATCCAGTCAGTGATTTGATTTTTCCATGACGTTCAATCTAACAGGAAATTTTGGTCTGACTATGTATATCTTAAATAAAATCCAGTCAGTGATTTGATTGTTCCATGACGTTCAATCTAACCGGAAATTTTGGTCTGACTATGTATACACCGCAATTTACAATGTTAATCATATAAACGGTCTATCATAATAATGTTGTTCCTATTTAACAACAATTGATTATCACGTTCATATAGTTCTGGTATAAAGTAAAAATATAAGATGGAGTGATATAGTAACTGTGTCGTTCCTTGATATCAAATCTTTTTTTAGAGTTGAAGCAAAGAGAAATAGAACTGATCGAGGGAAACCAAAATCATCATCTATCCAAAAATCCCTTGCGTTAACTATTCTTTTATACCGATAATTTTTTTTTTTATTAAAAGCAATGTCAGGATTGCCATTTCCAACAAAACATGGAGAGCTTTATCTGCTCTTTCGATATCGTATCCCTTTGCGTTTTTATCTCACGATCGATAGAAATTGGGAGGGGTCAGGTCAGTACAAAGTCCGCCCACCTCTTATGTGATTGGCTTAGTCATTTCTGCGAAGCTTAAACTGATGAGGTAGTTAGTATGAACACGACTTGAGGGGGATTGAATTCCTGGCAACAAAATCAGAATTAAAAACACGGAGATACAGCTTATTAAAATTATAATATTTTCGATTACATATGTAAAGTTTCTTTTAAAACATTTAGACTAACTAATGAGAGTTGGATCGATATGATTACCTACCGTCTCCAATTTGGGACATTCTTTCCCACAACATGCGCCCGAATTGTCGATCTATTCATACACGAAAAACTCTTGTCAACTAGAGCAACACTTCAGTAGCTTTAACCTCACTATACTAACAACTACATTAATATGACGTCATAAATATGTGTGTGGTCAAAGGTCAACTAAATGGTGTGACCCGTATTTTAACCAATTAAACGCTCCCAAAGTGTTGCCCAAGTGATTGGGGCATGTGCTCAAGGCTTTAACAAATAGTTACTTGCGTTGATTATACTATGGAAATGATAAAATATTATATCTATTGGAAAACAAATACCGTACTACAAAGTTTAAAGCATATGTCACGAAAACTGTTGATGCATATCATTAAAAATTGTATATATGAATGCTAGTAACATGAAAGGTACCAAGCCGATAACAAACAAAAAGTATGTCGATTTGACCAAGATAAATCTGTGTATATTTTTTATTTGTAACTGTGAATTTAACACCTTTAGAATGAGGAAAATTTAAGAGACACCCCTTTTCAACCATTATATTGAATTAAATAAACAAAAAAAATTAACAAACATCTTTTTTTTTTATTTTTCTCTTTATATTTTTAGTAATACAACTTTCATCAAACCTTAATACATAGATAGACCCAGTGTTTATATTTACTTTTTAATCGCGCGGACGTGGTAAGGAACGAAATTGCGAAATTTTCTCCCCGCGAAAATAAAACACGGTACATTGATTTAGTAAAGAGTTAAAACTGTTTTTGTTTAACAGGAACCGTCCCGGCCAGGCGTACACATGAATACAGGTAAGGATTTACATGGTTTTGATGATTATAATGATATTGCAGATAAATAAAATTTGGTAAGGTTGCTATGGTTCGTAATATATAACTTACGTCTGATTTACATGAATTAATAGTTTAAGGATATATTATAGTATCTGCTGTGGTCAATTTGTAACATAATCAATGGTTTCATATGCACCTTCCCCTTTGCTGTATTTCTAAGGACGTGTAAGAACACATTTGACATTGATGTTCATTATTTTTGTTTCACTGAAGGAAGTGCCCGTAAGGTGTAGTAAATGGCTACTTTTGTTGGATGTCGGCATCAATTAGCTAAATTGTATAATAAGTAATTACTGACTGTGTATTTCTAGTGACTAGTCGGGTTGTTCTGGTAGAAAACATTATGTGAAAGGTATCATGATAGTGGTTTCATAGACCGACACTTCCTACGTCATATTTGCTAATATATGTACATTATACACATATAAAAGCCACCAAAATACCACATACTACCGAATAGATGAAAGCATTATTCTCTAAATCATACTTAAATCAGTGAACTTTTCTATTTTTCTTTTTGTATAGCTCGACTCTTCAAATATTTGGCGTGTACATCGTTACATGTTGGCAAGGATACATTGGAATAGTGTTATCGTAGGAGTATTTCGATTGTTTATTTTACCGTGTATTCTGTCCCTAGAACAATAAAATGAATCACCTTTGATGTCGAAACAATTTGCGTCCTGTAAGTTTGTGCAGACGTTTATCATATATTGTGAGGAAGAAATAAACCAACGCGAGCTTCTAGTACCTAGTTTCATATATAAACATATTAATTTTGCAAATAAATAAAAACTAAGACGAGCACAACTGAAAGTTGGTATCGTGTTCCATGTCGCCAGTCGTACGATACCATACATCTGACGCGTACAGCGAAGCTCGTTTAACAGACCTATATATCCTGTAGGCGTATTGTTATAAGTGTATGCGTTTTGAACTGTTGCCAATTCTTTTCCTTTTGACTGTCATATCAAAACGACGTGGAACGTATATTTATGTTGTCAACTTTATCAAAGCTTCCTTAAGTTATATAAAAGTTTATGGTACACTTATTGAAAAATATCGTATAACAGCTGTGTTGATATGTAAATATCCGTGGAGTAAAGTAGGTTAGCCTTGAAGTATGCATAACACCGCGTTGTCTTCCGGGTGTGAATAGCGGTATGTCTCTTTTAACGCAAAATTATAAACAATTGGGTTAGTTTAAAATACATAATATGAAACAGGAACATATGCGTCGATGATGTCTTGACTAAACTATGAGAATGTGTTTAATATATTAACTTGTTAAAGTGTCCCCTGACATACACCTCCCCCATATTGTTTCTCGTCCTTCATTTCCCAAGCATAAACGAAGCCGACACCCTTCGTGGAAATTGCCCGGTGTATTTCATGGAACTTGTGCTGTCGTAGGTTTAAACAAAACCAATGAAAGAGCCTAAAAATCAAATTCGGTCATGTGGAAATGTGAAACCCGCTCCATTTAAAACTACTCAAGCACGGTACCTGTGCAGTGTTAGATGTTGGGCAATGTTTTGTGTTACTACGCATTACTTATGTACTCAATCATGTTTTTATCTTAACGAATGCAGATTCAGACTTAAAAAAATATAAAGTGCTTATGAAATTTTCTTTATAAATATTATTACTTAATAATTTTATTAGTATCCTTTATTAATGCTTCAGTTCAAATGCGTTTTAAATGTTCATTATCGGTACAAGGTTAAGGACAAGGGCAAAATCGAAACTCTGAAATCAATAAAATAGCTAATATTACATAGGTTATAATGTTCTAAAATCTCGAGAGAACATGTTTTCACATGTCTTCGCTCTTTCGACTTTGTTATTGGACGTTAATTTTAAATTTGTGTACTATAAACTAGCTTAACCAGGAAGTAGGACGGACTGACACGGTTATCGGACTATAACTATTATCTATTGATGTTTAAAAGAGGTTTGAGTACCGTGACATACAAAACATTTCAAGGTGGAAATTACAGACGTCAGTTTTAAAGGTCCGGTTAAGAAAACGATACGTAACTGCATTATAATTATTTTTTTAAATGTTTGAGATAAAATCTGACTTTAAATAACAGTATTAAGCTTCACAATGTTTCTTTTTGAAGATTATACCAAATATGAGATACTGTTCATGTGTCGTAATTTATTTTTGTGGATACAATTTCAATGGCCAATAAACTCAATAATGTCAAATGTCAATTAAATAATTTAATTCAATAAAGTACTTTAACTGTAATTGATACGGTGGATCAATTATGGTTTCTTAGCAGATGACTTAGATGAATCCCCCCCCCCCCCCCTAAGTGTCATCATTAAATATACAACGAGCAATGGTCGATGAATCACCTCATTATTAGTATTGACGTCATTTCTGTCTGGGAAAAAGTCAAACTTTTAGCTATAATTCTGATAAAATCTAGATAATGTTTTCTGTCTTGTATACAAACAGAAAAGTAAAGGATTTATTTAAAAAATGATATTGTGCAGTTAAGTTTTGTGGGGGTTCACATGAATTTTGTTGAGTTTTGTTATCTTCTCTGTTCTTATTGTTGTCTTCTCTGTTCCTATTGTTGTCTTCTCTGTTCCTATCGTTGTCTTCTCTGTTCCTATTGTTGTCTTCTCTGTTCCTATTGTTGTCTTCTCTGTTCCTATTGTTATCTTCTCTGTTCCTATTGTTATCTTCTCTATTCCTATTGTTATCTTCTCTGTTCATATTGTTGTCTTCTCTGTTCCTATTGTTGTTTTCTCTGTTCCTATTGTTTTCCTCTCTGTTCCTATTGTTGTCTTCTCTGTTCCTATTGTTATCTTCTCTGTTCCTATTGTTATCTTCGCTGTTCCCATTGTTGTCTTCTCTGTTCCTATTGTTGTCTTCTCTGTTCCTATTGTTGTCGCCTTCTCTGTTCCTATCGTTGTCTTCTCTGTTCCTATTGTTGTCTTCTCTGTTCCTTTTGTTGTCTTCTCTGTTCCTATTGTTATCTTCTCTGTTCCTATTGTTATCTTCTCTGTTCCTATTGTTATCTTCTCTATTCCTATTATTATCTTCTCTGTTCCTATTGTTGTCTTCTCTGTTCCTATTGTTGTTTTCTCTGTTCCTATTGTTGTCTTCTCTGTTCCTATTGTTTTCTTCTCTGTTCCTATTGTTGTCTTCTCTGTTCCTATTGTTATCTTCGCTGTTCCCTTTGTTGTCTTCTCTTTCCTATTGTTGTCTTCTCTGTTCCTATTGTTGTCGCCTTCTCTGTTCCTATTGTTGTCTTCTCTGTTCCTATCGTTGTCTTCTCTGTTCCTATTGTTGTCTTCTCTGTTCCTATTGTTGTCTTTTCTGTTCCTTTTGTTGTCTTCTCTGTTCCTATTGTTATCTTCGTTGTTCCTATTGTTATCTTCTCTGTTCTTATTGCTATCTTCTCTGTTCCTATTGTTGTCGTCTTCTCTGTTCCTATTGTTGTCTTCTCTGTTCCTATTGTTGTCTTCTCTGTTCCTATTGTTGTCTTCTCTGTTCCTATTGCTATCTTCTCTGTTCCTTTTGTCGTCTTCTCTGTTCCTTTTGTTGTTTTCTCTGTACCTATTGTTGTCTTCTCTGTTCCTATTGTTATCTTCTCTGTTCCTTTTGTCGTCTTCTCTGTTCCTTTTGTTGTTTTCTCTGTACCTATTGTTATCTTCTCTGTTCCTATTGTTGTCGTCTTCTCTGTTCCTATTGTTGTGTTATCTGTTCCTATTGTTGTGTTCTCTGTTCCTATTGTTATCTTCTCTGTTCCTATTGTTGTCTTCTCTGTTCCTACGTTGTCTTCTCTGTTCCTATTGTTGTCATGTACTTTTTGTGTTGCCTGATATAAAGTTTCCCAAACGAGTTTGTGGATTTGTTGCTTTTACTTTTGACTTTTGTCATTGGTAATATTGTCTGGATACTAATGGCATCTCACATGCACATCAGTGTTTCATTCTCATGGCCGTAGTGGCTTATAATAGATCGACATGTTTATGGTTGGTCGCCACGGTGATGAGAACGGTTCTTCTTTATGTCAGTTTTTGCCCAAGCTTGGTATGAAGGTGCATTATTGCACTGTAAATTCTTTTCGGTGGACCATTTGCGACTACAAGGGATTTATTTTTATTTGACTTCCATTTCAGATAAATCTTGTAACTATTATTATTTGTTCCGCATGACGGTTTATGGACTTTTCTCAAAACCTAATGAAAGGATACGTTTGAAACCTTTCGTAGACATTGGTTGACATGTGTAGCTTTGCGTAACATGTTCCATGTGTATGACCGTCAAGACCTCTGATTGATTGACATATTTATATGTCTACGCCAGGGTGATGCGACTAGTCCCTCTCTGTGTTTTGGTGTCTCCTTGTTCCTGTCTTTGTCCCTCCTTTTGTTTCGATGTCTCCTTTGTTCCTGTCCTTGTTTTTTTTCTTTTGCTTTGGTGTTTCCTCTGTTTCTGTTTTTCTTTGTTTTTCCTTCGATGTCTCCTCTGTTTCTGTCCTTGTTTTTTTCTTTTGCTTCAGTATCTCCTTGTTTTTTGTTGTTGTCCTCTCCCCATTCGCTGTGGTGTATCATCTGTTCCTCGTGTTGTATTTTATCTAGACTTTGACTAATGTGATTTTACCCTGGTAGGTAGACAATCTGGCACCTTTTGATTCCAATTACACTGAAATAAGCATTATGCTCTAGACGTGATAATTGATGGATTGAATAATGACTGTTATTAAATATATTTATCATTTGTTGGCATTGAGTATCCATACTAATTTTATAAATTAAAATCAGTAACTTCAAAAATATCAGCAAACTATTAGATAAGACTGAAGGTCGTTTTTTGTTAAAGGAAACTTGCGGCGGATACATGATACAAGTTAATATTTGTGTAGAGTTACAAAAACAAATCCTAACATATAACAAACAGTACTTAATCAAGTAGGGACCTTTGTAGTGACATTGTAGGGACCATCGTAGTAACATTGTCGGGTCCTTTGTAGTAACATTGTAGGGACCTTTGTAGTAACATTGTAGGGACCATCGTAGTGACATTGTAGGGACCTTTGTAGTAACATTGTAGGGACCTTTGTAGTAACATTGTAAGGACCATCGTAGTAACATTGTAGGGACCTTTGTAGTAACATTGTAGTAACATTGCAGTAACATTGTAGGGACCTTCGTAGTAACATTGTAGGGACCTTTGTAGCAACATTGTAGGGACCTTTGTAGTAACATTATAGAGACCTTTGTAGTGACATTGTAGAGACCTTTGAAGTAACATTGTCGGGACCTTTGTAGTAACATTGTAGTAACATTGTAGGGACCTTTGCAGTTACATTGTAGGGACCTTTGTAGTAACATTGTCGGGACCTTTGTAGTAACATTGTAGTAACATTGTAGGGACCTTTGCAGTTACATTGTAGGGACCATTGTAGTAACATTGTAGGGACCTTTGTAGTAATATTATAGAGACCTTTGTAGTGACATTGTAGAGACCTTTGTAGTAACATTGTAGGGACCTTTGAAGTAGCATTGTAGGGACCTTTGTAGTAACATTGTAGGGACCATTGTAGTAACACTGTAGGGACCATTGTAGTAACATTATAGAGACCTTTGTAGTAACATTGTAGTAACATTGTAGAGACCTTTGCAGTAACATTATAGGGACCTTTGTAGTAACATTGTAGGGACCTTTGTAGTAACATTGTAGGGACCTTTGCAGTAACATTGTAAATATGATCTTGAATTTTAATAGGATCATTATTTCCTGTTGTTTTGAAGTCTCGGCTTTAAAAAAATATCTTTTTTTTCTTTGGTTGACGTAATGGTGTCTTTTCTACTTTTCAAGGAGTTGCTCCAGTAGACATATTAATTACAACACGTGTATCCATACTTTTCCTCGTTTCACTAGCCGCCTTCCATACCTCAACATATCTCAAAGCCCTCCTCCCCCATACCTTTTTTTCTTAACAATTATTTCATAGATTTCTATGCCTCCCTCCATACAATGTCCAACCCCTTTATAATGCCGAAATTTCTTCAGACAAATGATGACAGTATAACAGGATTTTACTGCAAACATTTTCCTACGTAAATACAGAACAAAAACACCACAGCGTCAGCACAAAAGGAAAACAATAAGGAGAAAATAAACGAGAAGGCACAAAAGGAAACCAGCTCTAAATAAGTAAATGTTCGCACTCAATGTTACTCATTTCCTCTAGACTTTACCATTTGTCTAGACTTTAGATTTTCTCTTGACTTTGCCTTTACTTTAGACTTTAACTTTACTCTAGACTTTATACTTTACTTTAGACTTTCCTTTTCCTCTAGATTTTAGATTTTTCTCTAGATTTTACCTTTTCTTTAGTCTTTACTTTTCCTCTAGTCTTGACCTTTTTTTAGACTTTACCTTTTCTCTAGGGTTGACCTTTTCTTAGACTTTACCTTTCCTCCAGACTTTAGATTTTTCTCTAGACTTGACCTTTTCTTTAGACTTTACCTTTCCTCTAGTCTTTATACTTTACCTTTCCTCTAGGCTTTATACTGTACCTTTCCTCTAGTCTTTATACTGTACCTTTCCTCTAGTCTTTATACTGTACCTTTCCTCTAGTCTTTATACTTTACCTTTCCTCTAGTCTTTATACTTTACCTTTCCTCTAGTCTTTATACTGTACCTTTCCTCTAGTCTTTATACTTTACCTTTCCTCTAGACTTTATACTGTACCTTTCCTCTTGTCTTTATACTGTACCTTTCCTCTAGTCTTTATACTTTACATTTCCTCTAGACTTTATACTGTACCTTTCCTCTAGTCTTTATACTGTACCTTTCCTCTAGTCTTTATACTTAACCTTTCCTCTGGTCTTTATACTTAACCTTTCCTCTAGTCTTTATACTTTACCTTTCCTCTAGACTTTATACTGTACCTTTCCTCTAGATTTTATACTGTACCTTTCCTCTAGTCTTTATTCTGTACCTTTCCTCTAGTCTTTATACTGTACCTTTCCTTTAGACTTTATACTGTACCTTTCCTCTAGACTTTATACTGTACCTTTCATCTAGTCTTTATACTGTACCTTTCCTCTAGTATTTATACTGTACCTTTCCTCTAGTCTATATACTGTACCTTTCCTCTAGTCTTTATACTGTACCTTTCCTCTAGACTTTATACTGTACCTTTCCTCTAGTCTTTATACTGTACCTTTCCTCTGGACTTTATACTGTACCTTTCTTCTAGTCTTTATACTTTACCTTTCCTCTTGTCTTTATACTGTACCTTTCCTCTAGTCTATATACTGTACCTTTCCTCTAGTCTTTATACTGTACCTTTCCTCTAGACTTTATACTGTACCTTTCCTCTAGTCTTTATACTGTACCTTTCCTCTAGTCTTTATACTGTACCTTTCCTCTAGTCTTTATACTGTACCTTTCCTCTAGTCTTTATACTGTACCTTTCCTCTTGTCTTTATACTGTACCTTTCCTCTAGACTTTATACTGTACCTTTCCTCTAGTCTTTATACTGTACCTTTCCTCTAGTCTTTATACTGTACCTTTCCTCTAGTCTTTATACTGTACCTTTCCTCTAGTCTTTATACTGTACCTTTCCTCTAGTCTTTATACTGTACCTTTCCTCTAGTCTTTATACTGTACCTTTCCTCTAGTCTTTATACTGTACCTTTCCTCTAGTCTTTATACTGTACCTTTCCTCTAGTCTTTATACTGTACCTTTCCTCTAGTCTTTATACTGTACCTTTCCTCTAGTCTTTATACTGTACCTTTCCTCTAGTCTTTATACTGTACCTTTCCTCTAGTCTTTATACTGTACCTTTCCTCTAGTCTTTATACTGTACCTTTCCTCTAGTCTTTATACTGTACCTTTCCTCTAGTCTTTATACTGTACCTTTCCTCTAGTCTTTATACTGTACCTTTCCACTAGTCTTTATACTTTACCTTTCCTCTAGTCTTTATACTTTACCTTTCCTCTAGACTTTATACTGTACCTTTCATCTAGTCTTTATACTGTACCTTTCCTCTTGTCTTTATACTGTACCTTTCCTCTAGACTTTATACTGTACCTTTCCTCTAGTCTTTATACTGTACCTTTCCTCTAGTTGTAGGTAGATCAATGTCCCAGTCAGCACCAGACATCAGACAAGTCACCCCCTTCCCACCACAGACAACACGTCGACCCACAGTTTTCCCGAATAAGCTGAAGACAAGGGGCCATGCATGTGTGGTACATGGTTACTTCAACATTCACGACGAGAAAGCTATAGAAGACGCCAAGAAGAGGCTGGAGACTGATGGGGAGGTAAACTAAACTTCGTACGAAAACAATCGTTTCTTGAGAGCAGCCCGAATCCTATATTTAACATTCGTATTGCCCAAAGAACGGACATGTACGTCGAAACTGGTTGGGATTAGAGAACTAGCGCGTGAAAGATGTGCTCCGGGGAAGAAATTAGTTTCTGGTCTGTCCTGCCACAAAATCTCATTCTGTACAAGATATCTTATATAGCAACGATATTTCAACTATATAAAATATCTTAAATTAAATAAGATGCCTTATAAAGTATACGAGATAATGTATATATTATATAATACTTGGATTGCCGTAAACATAGTTTGATTTACTCCCAGGGTAAGGATAAATAATCGTTTCGCTGTGAATGACTTGTTTTCATTTTAAATCTGGTTCTAGGACGGAAACTGGCTGGTGACGTTAGCAATAAGACAGCCAATGCACTCCATTTGTCTCCACGTTCGGCTACAAAACAAGACCAACTCATTTCCCATCAACAACCTCAAAGGCGAAAGGATCAGCATCGATACGACAAACAAAAAGGTAGAAATACAAATTTAGCCATTATTGGCCAAGTTATAACTTAATGGTTTGTTTTATGTCATCTCCCTCACCGCAACCAACTTTATATTGCTCTTTTTATTTACATTTACTTGAAAAGTGTCCCTCAAAATGTCGCTAATACCAACATCAAATTGCTATGCAGAATGCAATGAGTGCAATTTAAATATATAACAAACACAGCGCAAGTTATACCTTTTTTCTGGCATACGGATTCTCCGTTATTAGTCCCCCATCGGTTCCCGGGGGGGAGGGACTATAATTTTGCGCTCCATCCGTCCGTCCGTCCGAGAAGTTTTTCCGGGGCGTAACACCTTTATTATTTCACCTGGAGTAACCAGATTTGGTGTACAAGGACATCTTGGTATGGCGGAGTACGGAGTGCATAATAAAGGTCACTATGACCTCACTGTGATCTATGCTTTGACCTTTGACCTTTACTTTTGAAAATGTTTGCCCGGGTCATATATTCTACATTATTTCATCTGGAGTTACCAGATTTGGTGTACAATAACATCTTGGGATGGCGGAGTGTGAAGTATGACTTGACCTTTGACCTTTAAGTTTTAAAAAGTTTGTCTGGGGCATAACTTCTATACTATTTTACTTGGAGTAACCAGATGGTGTTCAAGGAAATCTTGGGATGGCGGAGTGCAAGAAGTAGGTCACTGTGGCCTCACTATGACCTATGCTTCCGGACATGAATGTACTTTCGTTAAATATAGAAAGCATCACCGGTGGGGGACTATGGATTGCCTTGTTGTAAAAAAGGCTTAAACACAAATGACTTGTTTCTTGCTCATAACTCATATTTCTTTATTATTTCCAATCAGAAATCACATGTAACTGACACCATATTCAACTTCATCAATGTATGTTTTGTACTTTTATGTATTATTTTCCAGTCGTTTAAGTGTCTCTGTAAGCTGATCAACTATTACACAGTGAAGAAAACCTTACCTAACCAGAAAGTCAAGCTGGCTAAGGCTTTTCAACTACAGCAGCGAGGGAGTGGAGTGTATGACTCCTGTACCGAAGTGTCACATCTCTGACCACCCATGTAATGAAGTGTCACATCTCTGATCACTCCTGTACCGAAGTGTCAGATCTCTGATCACCCCTGTACCGAAGTGTCACATATCTGATCACTCCTGTACCGAAGTGTCACATCTCTGATCACTCCTGTACCGAAGTGTCACATCTCTGACCACTCCTGTACCGAAGTGTTACATCTCTGATCACTCCTGTACCGAAGTGTCACATCTTTGATCACTTCTGTACCGAAGTGTCACATCTCTGATCACTCCTGTACCGAAGTGTCACATCTCTGATCACTCCTGTACAGAAGTGTCACATCTCTGATCAATCCTGTACCGAAGTGTCACGTCTCTGATCACTCCTGTACCGAAGTGTCACATCTCTGAGCACTCCTGTACCGAAGTGTCACATCTCTGATCACTCCTGTACCGAAGTGTCACATCCCTGATCACTGCTGTACAGAAGTGTCACATCTCTGATCACTCCTGTACCGAAGTGTCACATCTCTGATCACTCCTGTACCGAAGTGTCACATCTCTGATCACTGCTGTACAGAAGTGTCACGTCTCTGATCACTCCTGTGTGACGCGTGCCTCTCAGAGCGGCATGTTTTCAGTTTTCTGTTATCAAATGAGACTATGAAAACTTCAAAAATATTTCCTTCCTTTTTTTTTGATAATCTATTTTCTTAGAATTTTAAAACATTTTTTGGGAATTTTGCCAAAAGCTATGAGAGATTTACAGTGAAACCTGTTTAATTCGACCTTACGGGAGATTGATTGACATAATGATCAGATATGAGAGGATGCCAGAATACACAGGTATTAATTGTCAGTTTTAATGTTAAATAGGATTACAGGCTTACATGAGATCAGACAGGCGGTCAGGCTACTCAAGGATGTATTAGAAAACATTAGATGGTGTGTTGTAATACCTAGAGGTCGTACTAGACAGGGTGTCAGAATAACCAGGGTATGTTTTGTGCAGTGTCAGGTTAGACAGGTTTCATTGTATTGTTACTACAAACTCGTAAGAGTTGGGCGAGTGGATACAGCTTTGTAAAATAGTTTACTTCTCCCGTGGGAGTTAGAGGTTATTGAGTACAGGGAGACAATCAAATCTCCCGTGGGAGTTAGAGGTTATTGAGTACAGGGAGACAATCAAATCTCCCGTGGGAGTTAGAGGTTATTGAGTGCAGGGAGACAATCAAATCTCCCGTGGGAGTTAGAGGTTATTGAGTACAGGGAGACAATCAAATCTCCCGTGGGAGTTAGAGGTTATTGAGTACAGGGAGACAATCAAATGTTTATTATCGATACATCCGAACATACAGGAGGCACACGAATCTTAACGCTATATGGTATGAATTGACACTGTATATATGATTTTGTTATACAGCCGTTATTTCAACAAGGCTACCCAAATTCGATCCCCTGTATGGGACACATGTCCGATCACGTGGGATTTCTCCGGGTTGTAGGGTAACCCTGTTTTCTCCCACATCCATGTTGATACTTAGGCTATTTAGAAACCAAATTATGCTGTGCCAACATCCTTACACTCCCCCATTGTTTTGTAAAATTTCATGAATATTATTTGTATATTGCGTGTCATAAATTTCACAAACTGCCTTTTTTGTAATCATTCACGAGGATAATTCGCACTTCATATCTTAGGTTTAATCTTTAAAAATATGTCTACGTGTACCTGAATTTTACATTAACGCAAATATTCACAATTACTTGTACAGCATTAAAGACTAACAGGTAGGTCTCCTCTATCAAGGGAATTGGGGGTTGGCTGTAAAAAGGAAATTGTAATGATATATGTGTGTTTACACAGGCTGTTAATAGGTAATAGGGAAAGAAAGCGTAGCTTATTTTCATGTATTTAACCTTTGCGTATGATATCCGTCCGCCAAACTGTTTCATGATCTATACAACGGAGAAATAACGTTTGACTTGAGCGAGTGTTCTTGGTTACTCCGTGTCAGATCTCGACATAGCGTCATGTATATGATGTTAAATCCATTGTCTGCATCAAGTTTAGTGTAATTTGTTTATCAAATAAAGATAAAGAGCTTTGCTGGATTCAACACTTTTCCTTAAATAAGTAAATATACCGGAAGCTTTTTGTTTGACAGTACTTACACTTGCCTATTAATCTACAAATCGCTTGTTTTATTTTATTCATTATGTTCCCTCTTCGCCAATTTCAGCAACACTTCCATATCTCAGCAAGTTCTTTGTTTTCATTTCAGCCCCCCCCCCCCCCAACCCCATCCCAAATGACATTTTCATGCCATTTCGTACCTGTACAGCCCTATTTCACCAACATTTTAATTAATAAAAAAGCAATTAACTGATTTTATCAAAACACTTTTTGATACATTTTTAATGTGCCAGTATCTTTACTAATTTTATCATGATATGAGTGTGTACATTATACAATGTAACGCGTTTTACACATATTACATGTTTGTTGCTCAATCTTTGGCTTTGGCACCTTTCGTGTACTTGAATACTAGACCGAAAATTTTAGTATCTAAAACTGTTATTACTTATAAAATATTCACGTTTAAGGTCACTTTTATTTATTTATTTATGAATTACACTTTTGTGTTAAAATAAGTTTCTCTTTGAAACGGGGATAATTAATTTATTATACAGGTTTTGTGATATTTTAGAAGCTGAAATGTTCGGTCCAGTAAAGGCTGCTGTCACCACAGGGACCAGGTTTAGGACACACTATGTTTGTTGAGAGAGTTACTAATGTTTAGAAAGAATTGGACGTTGTAAAAAAAACCACCTCAATGATGGTGTCAAATCATGTCCCTGCTATCAAAATATATTAACGCATCATGTTTTCCCGGTTGATTTGTTACGAAAAGAGGTATGATACAATTAATTTGTTGTCAGTTGTAAACCGTGACTGTGGTAGCTAGTTGTCGGTCTAGGCTACTTCTGAACATATTTGAGGTCAGTAGACAACCAAATATGATATGGCAGCTTGTATGTATTCTTATAAACGTTGTATAAGCACTACAACAAAATAAAGGCTTCCGTATATCCTTAAGTTGTCCTTTGTTATTTCTGTTCAGAGTTTTTATTTGAGTATGAAAATAATTATCTTGAAGTTAACTCATTCACCCCTGAAATTTCATAATGAGCTATTCCAACACACGAATTGGAGGAGTTCAAATGTGTCTTCAGGGGTGAATGAGTTTAAGGTCATTGATATTGTGAAAGTTGCAGTAGTTTATCTTGGGAACCTACAGGTTAAAATTAGCCCTAGGCCATATGGTATGGTGGAAGATTCCTAATAGTTCTTCTTAAAATAGGTCAAGGTCATTGATATGAGGGCTTCATAGCACTAGCCAAAAATCAGGTCCCGTTTTCACGCTCAAACTCAGGTTCTGTGCTCAAATCCAGTACCTAAATCCAGGGATAAATTTATAACTAACACAATGTCATTAATCCGGAAAAATGCTCGAGACATTTCAAGCCGAATGTAATTTAAGATGTTGCATTTCGAGCCGAATGTAATTTAAGATGTTGCATTTCGAGCCGAATGTAATTTAAGATGTTGCATTCCAAGCCGAATGTAATTTAAGATGTTGCATTTCAAGCCGAATGTAATTTAAGATGTTGCATTTGACTTTTGACCGTGCCACATGATTTAGGAGTTATAAGAAAGTCAGTTTAACACTGAACTCGCGATTCGTCACAGAATGGTTTAATGAATGGGGCACAGGATCCTGGGTATTTCAGTTTTCAAGGAGCCAGCCAATCAAAAAAGTTCAGACATATCGCTGCACTATACTTTAACCTCACATGGACTTCACGCCATGTGAACTTAAAATTATATATCAGTTAAAAAGAAATAAATGAAATCAATCTTTACTTCCTCCACAAAAATAAACCGTTTTTAAAATCGTTGCAAGGCATAATTAAACAAAAACGTGTATCGTATACAAATTTTATTGTGACTAAAACCATGTTTACATGACAATATCAATTCATATTTATTCCAATTTCTAATATGGGTATCAATCTCATATTATCACTGAGAGACAAAAGTTTGTACAAGTAAAGCTGCCAACTTATGGGTACCTAGAGATTTACCTATAACTCCCGTTATCACAGTAACCTTCCATCAGAAATACACACGACCCTACGACTGGAGCGTCACATTGTATTGTTAATCATACAGATAACACTTAATACAGCCAAACTAGTACAGAGCCCCACCAAAAGGTAGGTTAGAAAGTGGTCTCCTAGCAGAAATGGTGTCTAAGAAACAGAAGATGGTTTAAAATAGGTGGTTTGTAGAACAGGGCCCAATTGTTTAAAAGGGGATTAGCTTAATCAGTGATTAGCGCAAATTCCAATTTTTGTGTAACTTTAAAACGCAACCATTGAATTAGTTGCAACTTTCCAGATATCAAATATTTACTAGAGTGAACTTACATGCAAAATTGTTAGACTTTACCTTGTTTATTAAGGGAATGATTAAAGGTTGAAAAATGTCGTTAAACAGTGGTTTAGCTAACCACCTTTTGAACAACTGGGCCCTGATACTCAGAATTTTCTAAAATAATGCTATCCAAACGTTAAACGTGAGGGTTTTTATTTTTATTTTACCTAATAACTGTAGTCAACAAGCTGTCATACCTTTAAGTATGAAAATAACACGAGATCTAAGTTCCAGAAAGTTTGTATGCTCAAATGTTATTGCGGTTAGCCAAGTTAGACACTTAGTTTAAATGGAGGCCATCTGTAACTCTCCATGCTAAATAAGTTTCAAAACCATTCATTTGAACTAAGGAGTAGTCTTATAAAGCTATCCCCCATTTCTGCTTTTGGGTTCGTTTCCTCTGCCCCTATCAATTTTCATTTTTAAATAATGTATCCCAGTGAACCTGCCCTTTTCATCCCCTCCCACAGAAGGAAATCCTTTAATAGTTGTATAATATTGAATTCCCTTGGGTGTCTCCATGCGAAACATTAAAATTCATTATACTTATGGTAGTCTTCACGTTTCTACAGAGTACAGGCTTCACAAAGTTATTTTTGTTAACTTAATGTTACTTTATCTTCATGCAAAGACAATACAGGGTACTGAGAACCTCTAGATTATGGAGTAGTCTTTTTTTTAAGACTTACTCCCATTTTTTTCTATTGGGCCTCACCTGTCTGCCCAAAACGGAGACCCAAATCCTCGTTTATACAACAATTACTTCCCTTGGTCCAGGGATGAATGATTTACGCCTTATCTACCGGGTAGTTCAAATATGTTCAACTGTTTATGACTAGTAGTCTTCAAAGAAAACCTTACAATGGATTACTTGCGAGTGAGAAAATAACACCCACACCCAGCAATCTCCAAGAAGCGTGTGCACAACATTCGTTTATACCAGCAAGGCTATCAAAAAATGATGCTGACTGGCTGATGGAAAAAACAGAAGAAGGAAATAATAGATCAAACTGACACAGATGCCGATACTTGTGCTCTATGTTAAATTTTCAGAATATCAGTTCTCATTTATATTTGAAGAAAGAAAAGGAAAATAAATAAACTCTTTCTACGACTAGGACAAATAAGCATACAGTGTCAACAATAAAAATGTTCCAAGAAAAAAAATGATATTTTGACTACTTTCAGTTAAAAGTCTGAAATTGAGAAATATTCTCAAATTCTACTTTCATAAAATTAACTAGTTTTGTTACTGGGATATCTTGATGATTAGAGAAAAATTATGTCGGAAAGGAGAAAATTGGTTGGGTATTTTGTTTACAGCCTCGTACATCATCAAGATGAAATTAAAGAGAACAGGATGTGATATAATTTTTCAATGAAAATTGACACTTTAACTACATGCATGGAAACTTATAAAATAAATACTGTAGAATATGAAGATAAAAATGAAATCTATTATTTAAAAATACTCGAAGAAATTCTACCACAGAATAGCATCACCAACTCTAATGTACCGAAGACCTAGTGGATATTAAAATGGACTCATAATACACTTCCTTAACTCATTCACCCCTGAAGACACATTTGAACCCTTCCAATTCATAGGTTGGACTAGTTCATTACGAAATTTCAGGGGTGAATGATTTAAATCCTCTAATTGTACAAACAGTTTAAATAAATACATAACAATATCATACAATGTTTATCTACAAATGAAATATAAACATGATTAATGCATCAGACATTCTATCTGTTGATGATAATATGTATGAAGTTACTGCCATCAGGAATCAATGCTAAATCTATGTACATGTTAAACATCACGAGATAACACACTGTACAGTCATTAATGTAATAATTCAAATAATTAAGAGAAAACTAGATCTACCCTACACATCAGGGCCCAGTTGTTTAAAAGACTTAATAATAAGTGATACACACAATTTTTAATTTTTGTATAACTTTAAAACACAACCATCAAATTAGTTACAACTTTCGAGATAGCAAATGTTAAGTCTTCAGAGTGAATTACTTGCAAAATTGTGAGATTTTACCTTGTATATTGAAGAAACTATTAAAGGTTGAAAAATGGTGTTAAACAGTGATTAAGGTAATCACCTGTTGAACAACTGGGCCCCAGTGATCCTTTGCTGCCAAATTATTTCTTGAATCCCTGAATACAACTTTTATCCAAACAATCGATGATAATAAATTTATATGTAATTTTTATTTTTTTTAAATTCAGCGATAAAAAGTAAAGTATATTTGTAATACTTCATTTTGAAATCATCATACACTGGATTTCTGTCAAGTCTTCAAAAATTTAGCAAGGACATGTTTTCTAGTAGATTATCAAATAGATAGAATGTCAAATAATGTTGATCGGCGTAGTTAAACCAACATGGAGGACTAGATTTGTGTAGACATCGGTACATTCTTGCAAAAAAGTCTCTGAGATCAAATGAAGTTTCAAACATAGCTAAACTTAAAATGTATCATAATATATATAACTATCCCAAATCATTTATCATTATTTGATCACAAGTGCTGGTCTGCCAGTTACACAATCATTTATGAAGGATATATTCTACTTTGTTGTGAAATAAGTAGTTTTTCACTTGAGTTTCAATTGGTAACAATTCGTACAGTTCTCCATAGGAAATCTGCTTAATCTTTAGGGACTTTTCTATGCCCCCCCCCCCCAAATTCCCCTAAATTTGACAAATCTATTATCTATTTCTTTTCGTGTGGATTCTCTTCACTACTGACAGCGGACAGCAAGAATGTCAGTGAATATCACCAGAGGTTTATTACAGAGGACTAGACAGTTCACCATCACGATCTCATGTACACTGGGAAGCCGTACACAACAGGAGCAGAACCGATGAGGTACGGAAGCTGACACACCTCCCGTGCAGCTGGTAGTATGTCCAGTAGGGAACAAGGCTTGTCCGCCGACAGCCAGGTGGTCAACAGGCTCTCCAGGAACCGGTCAATGTCGCGGTCAGTCACATCCCACAGGTTGGACACGATACAGGGGCTACAATGTAAAACACACCAAGTTGAGAAATAGTACCTAAATTGTACAGCTGAAAGCTGGGCAGTATGCATGGTCTAACAACACAAACACAAGTCATATCATGAAATTTTCCCCCTCTGTGTCATATTAAAGCTGAAATGATTGATGAATTTATCAATTATTGATAATCATCAAAACAAAAAGGTTATAAAGAATCTTTTATACATGTAGTAAAATAAAATATCATTGGTAGGATCTAGGTCTTTCTCTATCCTATAGTAGGAAGGGTCAACTTTTTTCAATACAACATGCAGGAAATGTTTTTTTTATCAATTGCCTAAAATTGCGGTTTTAATTTAACAAAGTTGTTTATTGGAAAAATATAAGATGATAGTAATAATTCAGCAGATAATACTTAACACAAGAAAGAGGTCAGAAAATGAAGTACAGAATAAAATATGCAAACTCAAATAATAGCTAAGTCATATTTTGGCCCCATTGCTGTTTATTTCTCCAATAACACCCTATACAAGTTTTTTTCCACTTCTAAATTATCTGAACTTAAACCTAAAACCTAAAATACCAATTATCACTACTATTTTATGGTTCCAGCTACATTAAATGTTACCCACCATCCGGACAGGAAGTAGTTCAGCATTATCCCAGAAGCCTCTAGCTGACCTTTGACCTGAAGACGGCCACTGCTACAGCCCATCAGAATGGTGGCAGCTCGACAGTTGACCTGTTGAAGGTCGTCACCATGGAAATACTTGCTGCCACTGCCATGACCACAGTAGCTGTAATATAAACACATTTAAAGTCTCGTTATCAGTTTTACATTATTGTTTGGAACAGTTGCAACTCTATGAGAATTTTCTTTTTTAATAACATGCAGTAATGTACAATTTCAATAGCCTGGTGCTCAGTGCTAGTAAATTTGCTGTCAGAGCAAGTGATCATTTTCAATATTTTTTCGATGAAATTACAGGTTGGGATAGAAGGGTTTTTCAAAATCTGCCTGCAGCCTAATACTTTAGACAGGAAATCGGAAACCACAGACAGGCAAATCCTGGTATTTAACAGAGATGAAAATTGTGTAGCCGATGTAATCTACTGTAAGTGCTGAAGATAAATATATGGGACCCAGTGTTTAAAGTCATAAAACAGTTCCAGATTAGACATACATGTCGACAGCAGATAAAGGACTGCAATAAAAATCAGTGAAACACAACAGAATCTGTGTGTGATTATACAGTTGTGTATTAAATCAGGGAATAATGTGGGGGAAAATATAGCTAATAACACTGACACATTCCCTTAATATTGAAATTGACATACAAATCATAATATTATCCCTGGACTGGTAAACTATTATTCACATCTATTTATCACTAGGTGAATGGCTGTCATTTTTCTATACTTTTCTCTCTCTCCAGCACAGCGACATAACACAATACAGCGTTAAGTCATAAAACCTATGATAAAATCTAACATATAATCTATAACAGAACTTACATCACCAGGTCACTCTGTGTCAGAGCCTCTTTGAACAGGTCAGCTGATGGTTTCTCTCCCACAAGTCCCTTCCAGCCAGGCTCTCTGTAAAACACAATGTTCTGTTGTACAGAATTTGCTCAGTATGTTAAAATGTTTCTGAAGTAAGTGTCCAATTGATGCCCTTAGCCTAAGTACTCTTTATGTTGGCCTTGATAAGAATAAAGATGAATGGAAACAATCCGATTGAGATCTATTACAGTACAAAAGGTAGCTCAAACTTGTTTGTTTTGGCTTAAAAGCTTCTTGATACAAATAAGCCATTCCGATTGATATGTCTTGTCTGTGCCCCGCTTTGACCATCTATACACATGTCAAGTTTGGTTGGTCTAGCACTTACAGTTTCAGAGAAACTAACCTAAACCTAAAATGCTGACAAAGTCAATAGATCATAAAAGGTAGGCCGCACCCAGCATTTGATGTATGGGTTGAGATGTACTACCTAAGATGCATCTATGTTCCAGGTTTGGTTAGCACTTATACTTTCAGTGAAACTAACATAAGCGTAAAAACGTAATGTTGACGACGTAGGGAGGAAAAGCAACACCTTAGTCTCACTTACGCTACTTCGTGGTGGCAACACAAAAAGGCTATTTGGGCCTAAATTGATAAATTCAAAACACTGCATACACAGGGACAACTAAATGCTAAATATATGTTCAAGGATTGCAGTAGTGACTTACTTTTGAAACCAAGCCTGAAACGTTTCTCTTGTGGAGGACAGATTGCCATCCGGATCCAGGAAATAAAAGGTCTGTCGACTGTCGATTCCATTCTTATAAATGGTGTTCTCATCTGTTTGGAGGCAAGATAGCTGCACACACATGTGGTAAAAGGATGGAACACGAGAGACAGAATGTTTCCTCAGAATTGGTATGCTTTCCCACGGGAGATGCTGAATAGTCTGAAATATAAAATAAAATAAACATTATAGCAATTTACAAATGACAAGACCCTGATTTCTTCCAAGGTATTTTTTTATCAAATATTTTACAGGTTTTCTTGTGAATGTATGTAACTGTTTTACAATTTTGACATCCTTTAATTCTTACCTTGAGTTGGCCCTTTAAAAATAAAAAATAAATATACCTAGGATGCATTCATTTATCGCGATCCAAACGGTTGAACCAATGTTGTTTGTTTATGAAATAAGGTCGGACCTGGTAATCTGATGCTGCCTTCAAGTGAGCCTAAACAAAGCCTTGTAAGACCTGCGTATACATTTGCAGATCCTACAGGATTTGGAAACAGACAAACTGGTTGAACTGGAAACACATAAGGGGCCCTACAAAAACTAACCAAATGTCATTTAGGCAGTGATATTGTTAATATCCTACTCTAATCTGCACTAGTTGTTGATAGAATTGTTTTAAGTGCAGAAATTTTGACATAATTTAAGAAACCAAATAATTGGGATAATGAAGCATCCTTTACCTTGTCCAGTACCAGAATGACGTGCTGAGGCTTTGTGTCTTCACACGGTATTCCAGCATCCCTACATCGGCTTCTGATTGAGGAGACAAGTTGAGGGATGACCGCAGATCCAAGTGGACACCTGGTCAGTTCAGACAATGCAGTGGTCAGGTGCTGGTCAGATAAGTCATCCCCAGACTGAAGTAAAACCTATAAAACAAATACATTGCGGGTATCTGGGTAATAACTGACTGGTGAACAGGCAGAGTACCAGTAGACTGAATAAGCATTCAAATCTATATATGATACAGGGGTACAACTGTACTAACTTTAACCTTGGAAGGACATGTGAAGATATTCTGTATTTACAATAAAATATCGGTTGGGCAAGTATTATTTGTTAAAATATGCTTGCAGGCTAGTACTCTTATATGAAATCCAACACCAATGATAAATGGACTGTGCTCTTCCAAGCGCTAATGGAATAGTTATCTGGACAGGTGCTGGTATTTCAATAGACAGACAAATATAGGGACAAAATGATTCCTATATTCATTAACAATAACTACCCATTCATCAAAACAATTTCTTGCCAGGGTTGGAGTTCATCGGAGGTTATAATGTTTCTACACACCCTAAGGGTTGGAGTTCACCGGAGGTTATAATTTTTATACACACCCTAAGGGTTGGAGTTCCCCGGAGGTTATAATGTTTCTATACACCCTAAGGGTTGGAGTTCCCCGGAGGTTACAATGTTTCTACACACCCTAAGGGTTGGAGTTCACCAGAGGTTATAATGTTTATACACACCCTAAGGGTTGGAGTTCATCGGAGGTTATAATGTTTCTACACACCCTAAGGGTTGGAGTTCCCCAGAGGTTACAATGTTTATACACACCCTAAGGGTTGGAGTTCCCTGGAGGTTATAATGTTTATACACAGCCTAAGGGTTGGAGTTCCCCGGAGGTTATAATGTTTATACACACCCTAACGGTTGGAGTTCATAGGAGGATATAATGTTTATACACACCCTAAGGGTTGGAGTCCACCGGAGGTTATAATGTTCATACACACCCTAAGGGTTGGAGTTCACCGGAGGTTATAAAGTTTCTACACACCCTAAGGGTTGGAGTTCACCGGAGGTTATAATTTTTATACACACCCTAAGGGTTGGAGTTCCCCGGAGGTTATAATGTTTCTATACACCCTAAGGGTTGGAGTTCCCCGGAGGTTACAATGTTTCTACACACCCTAAGGGTTGGAGTTCACCAGAGGTTATAATGTTTATACACACCCTAAGGGTTGGAGTCCACCGGAGGTTATAATGTTCATACACACCCTAAGGGTTGGAGTTCACCGGAGGGTATAATGTTTATACACACCCTAAGGGTTGGAGTTCCCTGGAGGTTATAATGTTTCTAGACACCCTAAGGGTTGGAGTTCACCGGAGGTTATAATGTTTTTACACACCCTAAGGGTTGGAGTTCACAGGAGGTTATAATGTTTATACAGACCCTAAGGGTTGGAGTTCCCCGGAGGTTATAATGTTTCTACACACCCTAAGGGTTGGAGTTCACCGGAGGGTATAATGTTTATACACACCCTAAGGGTTGGAGTCCACCGGAGGTTATAATGTTCATACACACCCTAAGGGTTGGAGTTCACCGGAGGTTATAAAGTTTCTACACACCCTAAGGGTTGGAGTTCACCGGAGGTTATAAAGTTTCTACACACCCTAAGGGTTGGAGTTCACCGGAGGGTATAATGTTTCTACACACCCTAAGGGTTGGAGTTCCCCGGAGGTTATAATGTTTATACACACCCTAACGGTTGGAGTTCATAGGAGGATATAATGTTTATACACACCCTAAGGGTTGGAGTTCCCTGGAGGTTATAATGTTTCTACACACCCTAAGGGTTGGAGTTCCCCGGAGGTTATAATGTTTATACACACCCTAAGCTTGGCTCTGGACACCACAGCTCCAGTGCGTTGTTGTATTTCGGTGTGGACGGCCTCAGTCAGAGCGGTCAGTTTCTGTCTGTCCTGGTCACTCACACAGAGACTGCCCAGTAGTAACACCTTCCAGTGACTGAGCCAGTAGTTCTCCATACCGTCCAGCACACTCTGTAACACATACATGGGAATAATCATATACTTAAGAGTCATTACTAAGTGTGTTTGGTTTGATCCATTATTTTTTCCCCTTGATTTCCATTCTGTCACAATTTGAGCCTTAGTTTGGGCCATTTAAGCCTAAGTTTCAGTGTAACACTCACTTTTATAGGCTGTGAAGATGAAAGTCTACAACAATGTTTTTGCTAGTTTCATTAACACCCTATTCTTGCTTACATGCATGCGGTCGTCCAGTCCTCTGCGGACTTTCCACCACTCGGCCTTCTTTGTCAGTTTGAGGCTCTGTCGACTCTCCTCCATTACAGCCGTGAACTCCGGCAGTATCTGCTGTCCCTATAGACAACATAGCACCAAACTTTAATTGGTTGAGATCTTATAAAATTCATGTGACACAACTATGATGTACATTTATCACCTTATTTGTTAAAAGTTGGACCATACCATTATTGAACTTTTAGTAAAAAATTTAAGTGTCAGTGTGATTCACCTGAATTTTAAGGTACCTTTATAGATTTCTTAAAAGTACGTTTTAACTTTATTGACTTGTAACTATCTCGGATAACAATTTTTCTCTGTTTACATGATGAAAGCAAGTTCTACCAAATCCCTATCAATCAATTTGTTTGCGAATTAAACCTGATTTCTTACCAGGAGACTGGAGATTCCTGGAAGGCTGACGATGACCGGCTCTGCGTGTTTCTCCAGCCGACTGACCAGTAGGTGTGAGTGATGAGTGGGATGATTGACCACCGACAGATGACATACAACTATATCTGTAATTACAAGAAAGGTGATCAAAATAAAACAATCTGTTTCGTCCTTTCTCTTCCTGCCCTTGATTTGTGTCAACCCTGATTTTTGGCATATTTTACAAGCACTATTAATACTTAAAAAATACTTTCTTCTTATAACCTCAAAAAAGTTTAGTTTACATTGAGATAATACAGAAGTGAAAAAAACTATTCCGTCTTTGCGTATTGCAGAGTTATCTTCTCTTGTGAGCAAGTATTGATTGTTACGTCATTGGTTTGTGTGAGAAAATTATGTCGTTTTCTCAAAAATTGATGACGTTACTCTCACAAACAAATGACGTAACAATCAATACCTGCTCACAAGAGAAGATAACTCTGCAATACGCAAAGACGGAATAGGGTTTGGAGGACAACACAACATTCCACAATATCTTTCATCCAAAACACACTTCAGAGACTGATTTGAATTATAATGACACTTGAAAACAATTCAGTACATTGATGACAGAATTAAAGCAATTGTCGACCTGTGAATAGCAAGTGACCTAGGCCCCCTGAAATTCAATCTCTTCCAATTCAATGTATTTTCATACTTGACCTTTGTATAAACTTTGTTGTAAACCAGTTAAGAATGAAGTCAGTAGAGCAGTGACAAAAGTAAGGGCTGGACATGGGTAACACTATATGCTCCAGTTGGCGGGGGGGGGGCTTAATGAAAATAAACTATGGAATCTAAATTGAATCATAATAAAATATAAAATGAGTTCTGCAGAATACATACTACGGACGTTGAATGACTTAGGGAACTGAATTATGTGACTGGAAATTGACTTTAAGCCAGTACAGAAAAGTTCCTCAAACTAACAGCAGAAGGCCAGTAAAAACAAGGTATTATTTTAACAGCTGTCATACCATGAGGAAGTGCCTCCATCATCTTCTCAAGGTCACATTCAGATTTCGTGAATTGTAGACTTTCTTGTTCAATCCTGAGTTTATCCATGTCTGATTCCTCCTCCCTGTTACATTTGGTCACTTTCTGTTCACCAGTTTGTCCCCTTGTCAGCTTTGAATCCTTGCGTTGTACTTTGCCGGTCTGTTTTGCCTTGGACACCTTGGGGTTTGAGTTTAGGTTTTCTTTCTCTGTAAAAGCTTGCCCTTCCGAGTCAGTCGGTTCCTCAGTCACCTCCATATGTTCCGCATTCTGTTGACGCTTCATCTTTCTGGAAAAGAATATTGTAAGTTTTATTACCCAACTAAATTTTTCTTGTCTACTTTGGTTATATATATGAAATGAATGTGTCATCTGGACCCAAATATCTAGGTAAATTACACAGGGTCATCACAAGCATTTTGTTTACAAAAACAAATCTAGAATTCAGATAATTGTCTGATAATTGAGGAAATTCTTTCCACTGTTTGGCACAGATATTAAGGTCATAGGAGTGGATTGATAAACGGAAATAGGAAGTACATCAATGTAGGGAGACAGTATTACAATTTCCGCATATTCTAATGTTTAATATCAAACTGATGAATATTGTATGTTTATTATTGACAGAACAGTGTGTTCTCTCAATATTAAAGTATTTCAAAACAATCCAGGCATTAATTCGGGTTTTTTTATCAATGAGTCACATGTGTCCATTTTTCTGTACTTCAGGAAACCGGCTGCCTATTTTACTACTGTGAAGTTTTTCAAGAAATATAACTCTTACCTGCAATTAATATGTGTATATGGTTTTATTATAAAATGTCAATTTTTAATCCTTTATAGATAAATCATTTTACATAATTTCAGCATTTTTTAAATTGATATACATTAATTCAATACTATGGCAGTATCATTTTTATTGACATTATTTTGCAAAAAATTGTGTCTTTCATTTTCCCCCCCAAAAGTCACTCCTTTTTACATAAATTTCCATTTAAAATCCTTAAAATTGTGACAACCTATTTTTTTTTTGTGGCAGAACATTTTCTTTACTTCAAAGCAATATAACTACAAAATTTGAAGAAATTCTACTGAGAAATGGTGACACAATCCTATTACCTTAATGGCTAACAATGACAGCTGGAAAGCTACAGTAACTATAGTTTAGCCTGACAGGAACATCATTAGCTTATTACATTTTAATTGGCTTGACAATACCTGTTTGCTTATATATCATATAGGGACATATCTTGTAACTCTTATCAATGTTTTTTTTTATGATCTGAATTTCAGAAACAATGATGAACCAGTTGCATCACATAAATGAAATGGCCCAACGTTTGATCTGATGTAAAGTTCCACCTTGAGAGTGTTGGCTCACCAAGGTTTGATCTGATGTAAAGTTCCACCTTGAGGGTGTTGGCTCACCAAGGTTTGATCTGATGTAAAGTTCCACCTTGAGTGTTGGCTTACCTGATTTTCTTGCCAGAGTTGACCAGAGCTTGGTGACGGAAAGTGACAGCCAGAGCCTCACACAGGTAGAAAGCAGCTTTAAGGGGAGATGACTCCAGATGGTGCAGAGCCTTCATGTGACAGATCTGGCTGTACAGGCCGGGAGACGGCATGTGGTGGACCTGCTGGAATGCTTTCTCCAGGGTTTCCTCTATGGATGCGTCCAGTTGACGAGCTGCTGTGTTTTCTGTAAATGTAATCGGTAATTGCTTTAATACATGTATTAGTTGTGAGCATTTGTTAGTCATATATATTAGTAATCAAGCCTATAGAAGACCTGTGCAGGTTAACGGTTAGAGGAAACAATAATCCTACTATATCTCGACAAATTATTACAAAAGTCAACTAATATTGAGTCCCTTATTTTACAGGCTGTTGAAACCTAAATTGACCTTCTGCACTTCTGCAACAGATGAGATACTTATATTCAAAGTATTAAGCACTTCATTTTTATGGTATTTTGGTTTTAAAACAACCCTTTCCAGAAGGAATAAATTTGGTCACTAAAAAAACTTCTCAAAAATGTCTTTGTAAAGTTTGATGACTGAAATAAACATTATTATAATTCTTCTGCATTGTATACTCATGTGAGTTGTATCAGCATCACAGTAAAGTAATGCCCCAGTTAGACACTAATATTACTTATATGGTAAAGTAATACCACAGTTAAACTAATATTACTTATATGGTAAATTAATACCACAGTTAAACACTAATATTACTTATATGGTAAAGTAATATCACAGTTAGACACTAATATTACTTATATGGTAAAGTAATACCACAGTTAAACACTAATATTACTTATATGGTAAAGTAATACCACAGTTAAACACTAATATTACTTATATGGAAGGGCTGGGAAGCAACTTGAAAACTACAACAAATCACAGTTTTCAACACTGTTTAAAAATATTTGACATCAAAAAGCGATGATTTTTCTCCAGTGTAATTGATAAAGCAAACTCTATAATATTGGCTCAAGCCATTCTTCAAATTCTCCAGCATTTCGAATTGTAGTGTCAGAGTTGATAAGACATTTTGATAGAGTCTGCATTACTCGACCACCCAGTCTTTTTACTTTCCTCCTACCGCTCTAGTACAACTTATTACAGAACAGCCTTTTAGAAACTAACCCTGGACGGCTGGAGCATGTGGTATTTTGACCGTAGGTTCGTAGACACCAGTCACCTGTGGGATCTTGGTATGGAGTATATGTGTGGATCGCAGGACCTCGGTTGTCTCCCCTGATGTTGACCCAGTGTCCGAGACAGAAGAATCTTCTTTCTTTCGCCCTCGACCCTTCTTTGTATATGTTGTTGTGACTTTCCTCTTTCCCTTATCATCTCCTCTCAATAACTCAATGGAATCATTCAAATCATGCAGTTCTGTAACACACACAAAATAAAATATCTTTCAAATGTGCATATTGTTATTGCATAAGGATTGAATGGCGTTTTTTAAATTTTCATGCCGGTACGAACACTAATCGGTTACATCCATATCGCATGAACCCGCTAATAATTTATAATTAATTTACTGTGTTTTGTTTATCCTTCTAACGACATTAGCGGAATAGCCCTATTTTAGTCAAATTGGCGCTACTAATTAATCGTAGTCAACTGAGTGTTTGACGTAGGGGGGGGCATTCTCCATGTTAACCATAGCGGAGCGACAAGACTCTCATTGAACAAGGTTAATCCATGACATCATAAGTAAACCAAGTGTTACGTCACAAGTTTTTGCTTTCATACTCAAATGAAATGCATTTCTGCTGGTAATGTTCATATATAGTGGGTTGCAGCGCAAATGTAAATATACGACATTAATTAATATTATTTGCCAAAAACTAACAAAGTAAATTGCAATGTACTAAGCAAAGCAGTATTGACACTTCTAACAAAACAAAGTTTTGTAAGGAATCCACAATTCTGAAAAGTTTGGTATTTTTTTTAAACTTTTTGTTTTTCCAAAATTAAGGACATAACTCTATTTATAGTTGGGCATGTGCATCAGACATAGCTACAGTATAATACAGTACAAAATTTAACACCATATAGTTACACGACATAACCTTTTGAAACACCTAAAAGTATTAACATATACATTCTGTTATGAGGGATTTTAATTACATTTTAAATTCATATCCTTAAATTTACATTAACATTTAATTTTTTTCATCCACATCTTCAAAAACCTACCTTCAGGAGCCACAACCCCCAGATCTGCTGGACTTAACTCAATCGTCTGGCAGTCACCATCACTGCTTTGTGGACACTTCACGTCCAACAAATCTATCTCCACATCTCTACTCAAGTTCAACTCCACCTTGGGTGAGCAAGGCTCCTCTAAACCTATGACCGGCAAATCCAAACATTTGACCAGACTGAATATTTTTTCCTCGTTTTCCCCTGTATTATCCCTGACTTTTTCCTGTCCGTTCACTCTGCGAGAGTTTCGCATGTTTTGTGTACGACATTTCACTTCAGTTGTACGACTCTTCACTTCAGTTGTACATTTACTCGTTGCAGGTTTACGTTTTCCTGTTATTTTCTTTGTCGTCTTGGTAGCACAAACCTCCTCTTCGTTGTCGGACACATCAAAGGTGTAAACATCCGTGGCAGCAACAGATGCACAGTTGATGTCGGGATCTTCATTTTTACGCTCAAATTCAATATCTGCAACATTTTTCGATGACATGTCTTTGTTTCCTTTCCTAGCCGGACGTCCCTTTACAATTTTATCACAGGTTTGATTTTTACTGTTATTTAATTTTGTTTTTCGTCCCTCTTGATTCTCTGTTGTTTTAAGTCTAATATTTTTATTATTGTCTTTCTCTACAGGGACCTCTGCTGTTTTTGCAGTCTTGACACGACACGGAATCCTAGACCGTCCTTTCTTGTTGGGGTCACTTTCCCCTGTAGATGTTGAAATTGCTTTTAATAAATCAAGTTTTGGAGTTTTCATAATGTCACACGCATTGCTCGTTTTCTTTCCAGATTTCTTCGTATAGTTCCTCCCCGTTGTTTTCCCTCGTACAGACTTGACTTTGATATCATCATCACTGTCATCCAGCAGGAGATCGAGTCTTGCTTTGCGACTACACACACTCCGTGGTGTCTTGAGGGGCATGGACACAGTGTCCTTGTTGTCAGTATACACATATTGTTGACCATGAGGAGTATTACACAGGTCAGTACTCAGTGTTGACCGGTCACGCTTCGGTGTACTAATGATCGCCTCTTCTCTCAGTAACTTTACTTTTTTGACCGCTGGTTTCTTTACAGTGTTTTCCTTGGCTTCAACAGAAGCATTTTTATTTGCTAGCGAAGTCTTTTTGTTCTTTGTCGTCGTCTCCTTTCCTGTGGCACACTGATCAACTTCCACTGTTTCCATATCACTTAATGCCGAGTTCACACTGGAACAGTCTTCAATCTTGACCTGAGACATTGAGGAAGTGACTTGTGTCATTTCGTCGTCATTATAGAACAGATCAGATGACATGGCCGAGATGTTGGTGGCTGAACAGTCCCCTGATACAACCTGCTGCACAGTGTTGAATAGTGGATCACACTGAGACAACACCTGGTGGAGCCGGAGATTGGCCTCCAGCTGATTGACATGGACGGAAACTCCGGGGACGGCCTCACAGGTGGCTAGTCCTGTTCTAGCTACATTGGCACAGAGTTCCATATCCCCAGAGTCGGACAAAGTCTGAGCCTGTAGTGTCATCGCCTCCAAGTAGAGTTCTTTCAACGACAGTTTATTTACCTCAGCAACGATCAGTTCGGACTTTAAACAATCCTCATTTAACTTTTTCTTCTGTTTCTTTCTCTCTGTTTTACTATTTGAAATTGATGTTCCATCAGACATACGAGTCTCACAAATATTTTGAATACATTTCAATGTCTCTGACACCCCTTCACCTAGGCTGACCTGACAGTGTGTCACGACCATTGTCACATTCAGGACCCACAGCGACATCCACGGGTCCGTACAGACGTCACAGGTTTTCTTGTCTACAATATGGTGATAACATTTCGGCAACACTAATCGACTAGAAAGATTTTCCTCATGGTCCTGTGCCATTTCTTCCTCACTTTCAAACCCAAAGTTTTCCTCTAATTTCCTGTTCACTGAATGTTTACTTAATATTTTTGTTGGTACGGAAGGTTTGACTTTCACACGTAAAGACGTTGCTGCAATCCGATCAAGTGTATAACTTTCTAACATGTGATGGCAGTCGGAGACGGTACTTGTTGCATCCTCTATGTTTCCAGACAGGTTATGAATTTTAGCCAGTTCAATCGAAAACTGCATAGTCCTGAAATAAAGGGGGGAAAAGAGAAAAATTTAGATAAAATTGCTGGCACGTGAATTAAAGATATTCATCCTTAAATGACATACTTTTACCAGGAAAAAAGAAAAGCTATACTGAATAAACATTTTCTGAAGTAGTGAAACATACAACCATCACAGAGAATGACTTGTGTGTCTGATACAAATCAGTTCAACACTGTGTTCTCATTAGAGTCCTCAACCCTGTCTGCATGTGTAAATGTCTCAGCCGTGTACCTACACAACATTCTGCTGACGGGTATTTAGTGACGTGATGTCTACTTTATTGTGACTTGTATGGTTCTCTTGGTTAACATTTAGTATAGTAAAAGTATTTAGCATAATGCAGCCATTTCAATAACCTTAAAGTCATTACAGTTGCACAAACTTACAAACAAGTGTACAGTCACTTAACTGAAGATTTACAATATGTTACACCCAACAAAGTTTAAAGGGACCAGCTGATATCTCCCGTACTTACCAGTAGGGTAGACAGAGGTGTGAGAGAGTTGCCAGCCCTCCTGTACTTACCAGTAGGGTAGACAGAGGTGGTGAGAGAGTTGCCAGCCCTCCCGTACTTACCAGTAGGGTAGACAGAGGTGTGAGAGAGTTGCCAGCCCTCCCGTACTTACCAGTAGGGTAGACAGAGGTGGTGAGAGAGTTGCCAGCCCTCCCGTACTTACCAGTAGGGTAGACAGAGGTGTGAGAGAGTTGCCAGCCCTCCCGTACTTACCAGTAGGGTAGACAGAGGTGGTGAGAGAGTTGCCAGCCCTCCCGTAGAAAGCACCTGGCTTCCCTGTCCTCCCCGGCTAGACTGTACAGCCTTCCCAGGTGTAACAGAGATTCCACGAGGTCCCCTACTGCAGACCACTTGTCAAACGAGTTGCTGCCTACAAAACAGTACACAATTTCAGGAATAAGCTAAACAAGAGGCACACTATGTACAGTTCAAACGTGAAACAATACTAAAACCTTTCTAAAAAACGTTGGGGAGTTAGAACCAAGGCCCCAAAGTATGCTAGGTAACATTCCACACACCCCACAATCATTTTATAATTAACTCTAAAAGTACATTTCATCTAATAAAGCATTTATTATTACACAAAAGTTCCTGTTTGTAACTAGATTCTAATATCAGTTACTTTACCATATAACATATTTCAGTCAGCTGGTACTATGAAGCATACAAATAATACAAGACACCCACAGTGATCAATCTACATATGAGTCCAGAGTCCTATACTCATAGGGTTTTGATGGGACTCTTAGAATTTCTGGAAATACTGAAATTTAACAATGTGGGACCCATTGTTTTTAGCAATACAGTTGAAAAGGACCCATGAAAATAAATTGTAGATTGATCACTGCACTAGCTAGAGCTGTCGCCAGGATGGCTGACTAATACCCTAGCTTTCACCAAGTTATGTATATTTGAGAGTTATACTTCTACGTATTTAGCAGGATAAATAATATTTTTGTTAACGGGTCAAAACTTTCACAAAAATAACTGATTGCAAATATCCCTAGGGGCAAAACAAAGGGGAATAAAACTCCAGCAAAAAGGGTTGAAATCCCAACTTAAAATGCAGCTGCACAACTACATAAGATATCGATCGTTTATGCAAAGCTTCACGGAAATCCACCTGTTAGTTAAGGAGGAGTTGTGCGGACAAGTATTTCACACAAAGGGGCATAACTCCATCAAAATGGTCAAAATCCCAAATTAAAATGACGGTGCACAACTACATAAGATACCGAAACTAAATGGTTCCAGTATATCCTCCCAGTATACAATCATTCATGCAAAGTTTTAATGAAATACACGTGATAGTTAAGCGAAGTTTTCCGGACAAATTACTACGGACGACATCCGGACAGGGTGATTCCAGTATACCCCCCGCCCCCCCACCTCCCTAACTTTGTTGCGGGGGTATCATGATTGTGCTACAGTATATAAATAAACAGTGTACCTATTGACTGTTCCATCGTGAAGTTGAGGAACTCCTTCCCCAGGATCAGTTGGACGACACCTGTGTGCATCCTGATGGCATCGAGGGCCAAGTCGAGGATGTACACGTTCCGGTACTGCTGTGAACAGTCAGGAAGGCCCAGGAACATGGACATCAGGCGTTTGGCAGTTCCTTCAGCAGAGCACACAGAGCGGGTCTTACACGTCTGTGACTCCAGGAGTGATATCACAGAGGTGAGCTGGGTCATACCCTTCTCCAGCTGTAATTACAAAAACCTTTATTAGTATATCCTAATACAGCTTCATCCCAATATATTCAGCCCGACAAAATGCATGCCAAATGACTTTATTTGGATGTGTATTTAAGACAATGAAACCTTTTATATTGAGAACTAATCACTAAAACTAGATGTACTGATATACTCTCTCAATGAAACTTTTTATACTGACAGACTTTCACTGAACCTTACTGAAAGATTGTCACAGAAACCTTTTCCTATTGAGAGACTGTGTCAAGGAAAAACCTTTATATATTGAGAGTCAATCTCTCTCAAAGAAACTTTTTTACAGAAAAGCTTTCACTGAACCTACCAAAAACCTTTATATATTGACACACTCTGTCACAGAAACCTTTATATATTGACACACTCTGTCACAGAAACCTTTATATATTGACACACTCTGTCACAGAAACCTTTTCATATTGAGAGACTGTGTCAATGAAAGCTTTCGTACTGACAAGACTTCTCATTAAGTCTTCATACCTGGTTATGGTAGAAAGCCTGACGAATGTGGACCAGCATGGCGTGTACAGCATTGTCCCTCTGTGACCCCTGGAGTTCAGCAAGCTGGTCAGCATCCTCCAGCCACTGTGGTCCAGTGCAGCTTCTGTCTGTTTGTCCCACTAGGATTCGGGCCTCCAACAACCTGATGTCCAGAGCTGACCGGTCCAAAGTAGGATGTTTGTCCACAAGTTGTTGGGCAAGGTACAGCACGCGTAGCTCATTTTTTATCTGTTCAGAGAAAGAGATTCTTTATTACTTCAGAATGTTTTGGGCCATTACATTAAAACATATGGAAAAGACACTTTAAAAAGCCTGGTGTTGGCAGCCAAAATGTCATGCAAAATAATACCTTGTTTTAACTAAAAGGAAAGTCATATCCACCCACTGAAGCAAATTTAGCAACTGTGTATCATAAATTAGATTGGTGTTTCAACCAATTGCACCTAGCCATATACTAAGACTTAAGTTAAGTGCTTCTGTGCCTTGCAGGCTATCATATACAGTCATCAGTTATCTTATTTTATGTTTTCATACTTCAAACAGAAATGGCTGACAACATTTCTATATTATTAACAAGTTGACAACATATGTCTAATTAAAAAGTTAACTTCATAAATGAATATCATAAATTTGTATCACCTATGAATGTGAATCAACTAAACAGCAAAATTAATTCCCTTATTTTTAATCTGCTATGCCCAATACTATCAATCAGTATTTGTGGTGACAAAGGAAATGGTCGTACCCTCCTGGACAGTCGCAGTATGCTGGAACACAGCATCAAGGTGGTCAGAAGCACACCGGGGTCGGTCCTGTTGTCTAAACCATCACTTCCTGTCAGGATAGCTTCCCACAATGCAAGAGCACTTTCCAGTTTTTCCATAGCAACAGTTTCCATGGTAAATGTAAACATGGCTGGAGATGGGTGTTTTAGAGAGGTGTGGCTACTTGTATCATCCTCTGTGTCTACCGATTCCCCTGTAGACAGATCAGCAGTGGGCGTCGCCTCAGTCACTGGTGGGGTGGTATGGGACAGGTGAAACATCTGGTCAAATAGAAATATGTGATAGAATAAGATAAATAGATTACCAATCACAGAAAACTAACCAGTCAAATAGAAATAGGTAGGTGACCTATCACAAGTTATGCATTTTTTTGTATTCACTTGACAATTTTAGTAGTTAATTCTTCTTCCGTTATTCTTGGAACTCTGTTATTCGAGTCGTGACCTCATGCTTTTCCTGTGGGATTCATAAACTTTTTAAAGAACCATTATATCTCTTAGTAATGGAACGCATCAAAATTTTGTGGAAAAAAAATCAGGACTCGCCTGAACTTTTTTTACAAAATCGTTTTTTTTAGAGAACTCTGCAGAGCTATACCTTCCCACATTGAATTCAGCATGTTTTACATTTTTACCTATTCAGCATCGTGTTCAATTTACATGAATACTAAACTAGACTTCTTACATTAAATTATAGATGTTTTTATAGATTATTATAGCATTTCCTCACTTTATTACAGCATTTCGTGACATAGAACAATCAACTTGTTCCATATATACATACTACTTTATCAAGTACACACCAGACCACAGGAAAGGGAACCTCAAAATCTGTGTTCAGGAAAAAGTGAAGGAGACGTGTTATAAAATAATATTTCATTCCAAACTGAAGCTCTGTCCTGCTATTTATAACAACTCTGTAAAGCGTTCTCTAACCTGGTGACACTGGACCTCGTGTTGTATGATATAGGACCAGAGGTAGACCTCGGCTAGAAGTACACTAGATATCGTGTCCCTAGACCCTGACAACACCTCCTCTGCTTCTTGTATGTAGTCCAGTGAAGACCTACAGAAAACAAAATGTACTCTGATATTGTAAATCTAATTTTATAATTTCATTAAAATGTTTTCATTTTTAATGTCAAAATGTAAACATCTCAATCTTGGGAATCTCTATTGACGTAAAAAGAAAAGTTGACTCAAAATAAATATACAGTGTATCACTAAGACTGTATACCAAGAGTATACTATCCATGTTTCTATAAATATTGTTTATGTATCTGCCTTAGGTCTGTTTCCGAATTGACTGTTGCAGAAGAGTGGGAGGCACCTTTTTAGAAACCACACGTCACCATTCATGAAATATTAAAAGTGATTTAACATTAGGAATGTTAATATACAGGTGCCTCCCACCTCGACCGTACAATAAATTATAATAAAAAAAATAATTTGCAATAAACTTACTTGTCTTCAGTGATCCCTTTCATCCATATAAGCTGACCAATGTCCAAGAGTGCCCTGGCCTGGACCGTGGGTGCTTTGGACACAGTCAGTATCACCTTCAGAATAGTCACTTCCACCTCATTATAACTTCGCCTGTACAAAAAGACACCGACGGATCATTTACCAAGGTATTCTACAAAATACAATCACTTCTGTCCAATGAAATGATAACATGGTGTTAAACAAATCACAACAATAGGAGATGATGTTGTTCTACAAAGAAGATTGTTTCATATATCTCCCAGGTATGTTTTCTTCTTTAATCACCTTTTGTTTATTATCTAATTCTGCTTTATTGATTGTTTTGTTGAAGTATTCAGGTAACACAGGATTGATATATCCGTAGTGCTATACATGACTAAATAGACCAAGGTCTTCAGCAGGCTTTATAAATCATCAGCTGCCAATTCTGGTAAGTTCTTATAACCTACAATGTTGATAAACCTTTGACTGAAGTAATGTCTTTGTCAGTTAAATACTTACCTTGTAATTATTGGCTACAATTTGAAAGTATGACACAATTTTCTGTGTGCTGACAATGGAAGCTTTGAAATTTGGTTTGGTTTGGTTTTATTTTGTTTAACGTCCTATTAACATCTAAGGTCATTTAAGGACTTGCCTCCGTGTATGTTGTGTAAGCATGCATGTGTGTATGTGTGCCCGAGACAGGATATCTTTGTGCAGTTGCCTCCTTGTGATAGCACGTATCTGTTGCCGACTTTATAGTGCTATCTCACTGAAATACCATGCCGAAGGCACCCAGCACAGCATTCCGCCCGGTCACATTATACTGACAAGTTGACAACAGATGAACCAGTTGTTGCCATTCCCCTAAATGTTGAACGTTAAGCAGGGAAAAAACCACTACCATTATTAAGGACTTTGGTATGTTCCAGGCCTGGAGACAAAACACATTGCCTTCCTCACCTGAGCAAATGCTCAGCATTAAAGCCAAACCTGAGGTATTGCCAAGCAAGGCGCTGGGAAATAAAAGGTAGTTAGAAGTATAGAGATATATTAAGATCCCAAATTTTGTGATGGATGCAGTAGATTTATTTTGGTTGCCTTTGTGTCCCCAAATAGAGGACAACAAAGCAAATCCCCAATTCTGCAGGGGTTCCCCACATTAGTCGCCTCCAACGATTACATGCTGTAGGTACCAGCAGGTGTATTCTTTTCTTGATCCCCGGCCTGGAAGCTTTGACATGTTAACCTACTGAGTACTGAACTGTAATTAACCTTTAAAGGTTTATTGGATGATGCTTCATTTACACGTATTTTTGTGTGGTGTCGGTCAAAATGAAAATGTGTTCATCAATGATCGCACCAAAGCAAGGGACGTTATCAGAAGTTAAACCATTACATGGATTATACAGAGGAAAAACAGTGTTTCAAGGAAACATTATATCACCTGATAGCGACATTAAACAGCCCGACATCAAGGAATATGTACTGTACTGAAATATTTGAATATCTGAAAGAATCTGTTCATCGTTTGTCCCCAACTTTGAATCCTAAGCTTCTTCAAATGATCAGACTTTCTGTAAACAAAGAATGATCACAGAACGTGATTTTTTTTGGAAGTGTCATAAAACATTACCTGTTGTTTCTAAAAGCTAGCAGCTCGAGGTTGAGTAAATCTGTGATGTCCAGTTTGGTGTCCGGACACCTGGCCAACAGCTGGTCACCTAAAACCCTGCAAATGAGAAAAAATATTAAATCAAGAAGAAGTCAAATAGAATCTGACCATGGGAAATGGTAGTTAAACCCTGTAAAATCAAATGGTCACAAGAAAAATCTCAACATAGTCAAAAAGATGAAACCCAATAAAAATATATTATAGTCAGAAGAAACTTTGGTATCAACTTCTGCAAAAATCGTTCTATATTACCGGCAATGATGAGGCTCAAACAATGTTAAAAGTTTACTCTATAAAATTAGCATAAAGGAACACAAATATTTCTATACAAAAAGGTGATCCCCCAATATATTATTTTCCCAGAACTTAATTGTAGGAATCAATGCAAATTAGTGTTGATTTATGACTTTGAACAATTTGGAGGGGGCAGGATGGATTTTAACAACACTACATGCAACTGCAACCATATAATGGTACAAGTCATAAAAAAACATACAAGTCCAAATCTTACATCTGTTTGACAGTGTTGGTTTCGTTTTTGATGGCTTCTTTCTTGGTTCTCACCCACAGCTTGACAGCTGAGGTCATGTGACTGGAATCTATCAGCAGACAATTCTGGATCGTCTCCATGGCACTCGGTAAATCTCCACACTTCTTTTGGCAATCTGATAAACACTCGTACACCAACCATAAGGAGACCTGTAACAAAAGACCGAACAGTTACACGGCTGCTTTCTTAAACAATCATAATGTCCAGACATGAACTCATGACTAACGAGATTTTTTTTTTCTCCGATTCAAAGTCAACCCAACCCCCTCTACACTGTCATACTATTTTATGATAATGCCCCTTTTTTTTGTTTTGTAGTAACTTCTTTTCTTGATTTTCCTTGTGAATTACAGTTTAGCTTTGAGTAAACTTGTGTAATATCACAGAGGTATCTCAAAAGAAGTATACAATATCAAAGTTAACAGAAGATGCCTTTTTAATACAGAAATCATTTTCGAGAGACCCACAGGACCATTGGTTTCAAATAACCCTTCAAATCTTGTAGAATTAAAACAATTCTGCTAACTAAAAAATTATTGTTTGCTGACTTAACACTTTGGAAATTTCCTCCTAAACAGTGAATTGAATTCCATACTTCAGCCATGGAAACATGTCTTTCTCAAACTGACGATACGGTTAAAGTTTTAGCCCTAGAGAAATCTAACCTCCTGAAGCCTCTGTTGTGTGAGTGACACATCGGATTTCACCCACTGGGTCAGCTGACGACAAGAGATGGTGTACAGTTTGCAGGCAGAAGTGTTATCTCCCTTTGTAGAGTACAGATGACCAAGCTTGGACATGAGATAACCTGAAATGATAGTGATGGAAATACAGTGTATAACAAGATGTCTACCCATGCAAAATGTTTCTGCCAATAATATCACATAATTTCACATTAAATAAACTGCATTTTTATGTTACCGTAGGTTTAAAAATCTAATTCATTTTTATGTATTTAAATATATATATAGGTAATGAAGTTGAAACTATTTCAAACTATCAATAATACAGGCAAAATGTTTCTGCCAATATCACATAATTTCACATTAAATCCACTGCATTTCCATGTTACCGTAGATTTAAAAATTTAATTTATCTTGGTATTTAAATATGAGAGTTCATGAAGTTGAAATTATTTCAAACTGTTTGTTCAACCTGCAGATTTTGGCCAAGATAGTTAAGATCAAAACATGTCAAAAATTCCACCAAAAAGTATCAAATATGCCCCATTTTCATTTATAAAACAACATTAATGCTAAAATGTAAAGATACTTGTCAAAAACTTTAACCTAAAGGAAACAGCTGGCAGGACTGACAGATGAACAATTGCAGACAAAACTTATAGTCCCATGGTTTCACCAAAAGGGGGCTAAAAAAATGTTCCTACCACAATAGTGTCTCTCTTGATTAAGTTTCTTTGTGGACCAGTCTAAGGCATCTGACTCCAGTATTGTATTGTAGCGGTCGGACAGTTCTATCACAGTCTCCATAAAAAACAGGTACGAGTCTCCTTCTGCAAATACAAGGATTTGGAACCACTTACATAACAAGACAGTTGAAACTACAATAATTCTATTTGATACTAGTTATCATTTTTATTGTAGCACAACAACTTCGCTGATCTGTGTATTGGTATTCTTACCAAATTGATGTGGGCACATCAGAAATTATTTTAAAACTGAACTTTAATTTCTTCCAATACTAAGGTGTAAAGTAACATTGCACATTGTTGTCCATATTGCTGAAGAAATGATTTTGATAGGAAAATACATGTTTTTGAAAACTTTCTTTTTTATCATAATCATTAGAAAAAATCTTTTTGGATTATTTGTATAGATCTATAAACAAACCTTGAGTGTCTTTCAGATATTTGAACAAGATTCGTAGACAAAGTTGTAGATGTTCTACTGATGCAGACTGTTGTTGACCAATCTCAACATCTGCTGAAAACGAAGCAGCTCCAATCTTCAAAATTTCTCGAACAGTTTCAACAGCAGGAAAGGGAGTTAAATTTTCCATATGTTTCAGCAGAAGTGTGACCATGTCATGGATGAATGTCTTGCAGGTCTGTGGCCAGGATGTATAACTATTGTCAAAGGAACTACAGAAAATTTCACTTACATTGGACAACTGTGAAGCAATCTTTTTCCCACACTTTCCAGTTGTACCCTTGAATAACAAATCCACTACCAGAAAGAGATTTTTAACAACAGAAAAAGCATCTGATACTTGACAAGTAACATTCAATTTTGTTTCTTCCAATATATTTTGACAATCACTGATCTTATTTTGAAGAGATCTCTGTAGAATGTACTTAAAGAGGCCTAAAAAGACAGAGAGCAGACTCCAAGCTTCAGCTTCCGTAGAGAAACCATCTGAGGCCCGTTTGATGAGACTCGACAGAAGATCCTGGGTCAGATCCACATACATCTCTGCGTCTGTGTACATGCCTTTGTCCCTGTACTGAACAGTCACTCTGTCATATCTGACAAAATAAAAACAACACTCAAATTTAAAAGACCTGCACTTTCCCTTTTACAAATCAGTAAGCCATGGCTTATCAACTTGAAAGTCAAACTTAACAAGGAACACATACCAATTATTTTTCTACACATTACATTACAAAAGAAAATTGATTTTTTATAAGTTCTGAACACATTGCATACTGTATATGTATATATAATACCAGTATTATTTATTGAAATAATCTTTTATCAAGTTCCCTCTCCTTTTTCTAAACTTATGATATAATTGACAAAACAAATACTACAATCTAAAACCATTAACTTTTTAATCACATTTCTAAACTGATTACATGTATTACAAATGTATTTAGATAGTTTGATTCTGGTCATCACCTGCTAAATGCCACGAGGTATTTTTCCACAAACACAGCGACAGTAGATGGGCCCAACAGAAGTGTTTTCAGGGCTGCATGTCTTAGTTTAAGCACAGTGTCTGGTGAGCCGTTACTCTGGTCCTGTTCCAGTTTGGCTGCCACGTTCCACAGGTAACTGTAGGTGTTGTGTATAATGGTATCCACGTTACCGGGCGTCGCCTCAATGTTGTAGGATAACTCATCATGTAAGTGTTCAGCAATGGTCAGCTGACTTTCTGGAATTCCCTACAAGAGACAAATTAATAGTTCTTGCAAAAATTGTTAGTTTTGTTTATTTGTGTTTTACGTCCTATTTAACAGCTATGGTAATTTAATATAAGAACATGCCAGGTTTTGGTGGTGGAGGAAAGTCAATGTTCTTGGAGAAAAACCACCAACCAACGGCCAGTACCTAACTGCCCCATGCAGGCCTCGAACCCGTGACCCAGTGGTGGAGGGCTAGTGGTAGCAGGATGTCAAGACGCCTCAACCACTTGGCCACTGCAGCCCCATAATTATTATTTTTTGTAGAAAATGTCAATCAGCCTTTAAAAAAACTTACCATCCAAAAGAGTACCAATTAATAATGCAATTGAACATTAAAATGCATTTTTTTTATAATCTCAATTATTCTTATATTTCTTTTTAGGGTGTGATATCTATTTCTTTTGATTTATATTTAAAATTATTTTGATTATACAACCTTTTGTGGGAGTTTAGTAAGGAGATGGTACAGAAGCTTCAACACGGTCAAAGGTTCATTCAGCTTGACTTCCTCCCTGGCAACCTTGTATCCTAGGTAACAGCTACAGACAGCTTGAAGAAGACTTGTAGATTCTCGACTGCTGCTCACATGGGATACAGATGTGTGGAGGAACTTGACTGTATACAATCCATACTTGGATTTGTCCTCCCTTTCAGCAGGATTCTTTTTACACAGCAGTGGAGACAGGTAGTTCTAGACGAGAAATAATTCAAAAAGACAGAAGTTTAATATAGTTTAACATGTTGTACATATGTTTCAGTACTTTCCAGAAGTTATTTCAATATCTTAAAAAAGAGTATCGGCACTTGGACTAACATTATAAACCTGTTCATGTTTAAATTGTTGTGATTTGTGTCTTGCTGTATTATTCAATATTCTTCAATATTTTTCTTATTTACCAAAAAGGTGCCCTTAAATCCTATTCAAATTTCTTAAGTAATGAAACTACTTGGTACCAATTATTGGGTTGTAAGGGAAATTATCTGATTATTAGTTATTTTCAGTGTTTGAATCATGTAGTGACGTATTCCTTGCCTTTCTTTTGAAACTCCTATAATTATATAACACGTCCATCCACAGGGATAATCCTGGAGTGGGGCCATTGATCCCCCCTTCCCATCTTTCAATTTAATTCTAATTTTACATAGAATGGCCCCTCTTAATTTTGATATTGACCAACCAAAAAATTGCTGAAAATGACCCATTGCTCTCAAATACCATGATATTCCTTCATCCATACGTTATCGCAACCCCTCTTTTCAAACAGAAGAAATTGGTGAATTACTGAACTACAGTGGGCGGGGCGTTTAACTTTTCGAACATTTACACAACGTACATCAGAATTTATTTCATCCTGTTTGAAAAGTGCATCTGTTTACTACCTAAAATCAATGCTAAGTTCCTGATCAATGTGAATATCAACGATAAACCGTAAGTTAACTTATCAGCCACATAACTGAATAAGTCAGTCTGTCAAAATATATTGTAAACAAACGGCCAAATAACCTCGATGTCTTGTCCGATGGTTTCATGGTTTCCAGACTGCAAATCGGACAAGAAAAGTTGTCCTGCCATATCCACACGGAATAGGCTCTTCGGGCAGCCACTGCACCGTTTCTAGTTCATAAATATTCGATGTTTGACAGTATCCATTTCAATGTTCCCGCTCAACGTGTTTAAAATGGCCGACGTTGACTGCGGAACTGACCGGAAATACACTATGATTTAAATTATTTATTCATATTCTTCAACATATCAGAGATCCAAACATTAAAATGTTCAAAATAATAATATCCTTTAACTGATCGATATTTATATATTTATAATAAATAACTGTTCTAACTTGTTTGACGTTGTAGTTTCTGTTTATAACTTCCGGTCATAACATTGCAGTGCGTTTGGGTGGTCCACACATGAAATCATGGAATACCAGGAGGAAAAACTGACCGAAGCACTCGTTCTTGCCAGGACAAGAGCAATAGACCTTGAAAGCGTCACGAAATTAAATTTCTGGTAAACCTTATTGAAATGAAATATCTAACGTTGTTTTGACTTGAAGTGAAACAAAACACTGGAGTTTGGAAAGCAAAAATTAAAATAATTTACTTAGACAATACTCAGATACCTCTATAGGATATTTATTGGATCTGTAAGAGTCATTATTGATTAAATTATGTGACCGTAAATTCTTCTGATCATCATCGATCGCGGCATATAACATTTGTCAATCAGCACCAATATTACTGCCATTCACAGGCGCCTGCATCTTCACTGTAAGGTGACAGTACCCAAATCCGATCAACAAACCATCATTTTATTCATTCATTGAAAATTCTGAGAATGAACTATATTACTTTATGGTTGTATCAAAGGAAGTCTATCGATGGGTGTTTATACAAAAAAAAAATAGCACCCCAGGCTCAAGTGAATTATTTTTAGAACGCTCTGAAGTCGCCTATCAGCGGTTCCATTTTTTGCGAATGTCAGGACCCAAATAATCGGAACAAGGCTTGAATTTTGCAGTATCTTACACTTCAAATGAACAACTTCACTGTAATGTTACACATGTAAACCAAACAAGAAATAGAGTAGTGTGCTACCACCGACGATTGAACCAGTGATCCTCAGCCTCCTAGTCCACGGCTGTGCTAGTCGAGTGCAAGAATATATCCCTCGAGTGTAAAGCTGAAACAGTGACCATCATGCATCCTATGCTACTCCAACAGTGTTAGAGGTTTTGACAGGTGCAGTGTAACCGGCAAAATCATATATTCGATAGAAAAGGGCCGACCAGTGGCCTCTTATTTATAGGAGAAGTATCCTATGTACAATTAAAACCTCCGACAAATGAATAAAAAAGGGGTTAAATTATAGACATTGGAACCTGATGATTTCTGTACAAAAAAAATATTGTTGAAAATTATCGAAACAATTTTAATGAAGTGCAGTAATGAAATGTCTTATAGAAACATATATAACACCCATACTGAAATAACTGAATACTGATGTGGTAGATTTTAATTGTACATAGAATTACAGTCACTTTCTAGCTTATTGCTAGAGGGACTTTCCACACTCCACGGTGGAAGCACATACATTGCTCTTTTTCCAAATGGTGACCATGGTCTTTGTTGTGTGTGAGGGTGAACACATTTAAAAAGGGGAAGTAATGCAGCTGATTTTATAAAATTATGGTTGCCTTATTAAGAAGTCTACAGTTACAGGTTTGATATCCCCTGTTGGGTTAGATATCCCCTGTTGGGTTTGGTATCCCCTGTTGGGTTAGATATCCCCTGTTGGGTTTGGTATCTCCTGTTGGGTTTGATATCCCCTGTTGGGTTAGATATCCCCTGTTTTAAAAGCGCTACTCTCTTTCCTGTTACACTGAGGCGTCAGTATCCCATCCCAGTATCCCACCACCCAACGAGACTGAAGAAATAAACCAATCCAAAATGACTGCTGGAAGCTGAAACTTTTGTTCGATTTGAGAGAACTGTTCATTATTTGTGTAACAGGAGAGGAAAAATGCACGGCCAGACCATGGTTAAGTTTAATACCTTGATTAAAATCCTTTAATAAATATAAATGAGTACAAACCTAACATCTCAAAGATTAAAGCATAATGTCTGTCAATAAAAACACAAAGCAAATTGTTAAAAGTACTGTATCTCCCTATTTGTTAATTTTATTTGTATTGAGTAAACATTAGTGTAGTAGTGTCAATCAAAATATCCACATATATCCACACATATCCACACACATGTCCACATATATCCACACATATCCACACATATCCACATATATTCACAAATATCCACATATATCCACACATATCTACATATATCCACACATATCCACATATATCCACATATATCCAAACACACATACCCACACACACATATCTACACATATCCACATATATTCACATATATCTACATATATCCACATATATCCACACACATATCTACACATATTCACATATATCCATACATATCCACATATATCCACACACACATATCCACATATATCCACACACACATATCCACACATATCAACTAAGAGGTATATCCTAATACTTTGACTGGTATATTCTCTTTTTGTTATGCTTCAAGTAGTTCCCCATCCAAATACCATTCTTATGTTAATTTTTTGAAGATTGTTTCATAAATGTTCATGATATATGTTGATAGAATACAGTATTCTTATTGTAATAACACACATACGGAAATGAACCCTAACATATCTATTGCACTTCAGTAAAAATTCCAACTGATGCTATTTTGTGGTGCTGTAATTAATAACTTTGGGTCGAACATGGGTGTTGGCCAGTGTGCTTATTGAAGGATAAGTTTGGTATAAGGAGGCACAGTAGTCTAGTGGTAGGACGCCGGGCTCGCGACCGAAGGGTTGCGGGATCGAGGCACGGCACTGTGTTGTATCTTTGAGCAAGTTACTTAACTCAGCTTGTTCCAGTCTACTCAGCTGTAAATGAGTACATGGTTGGGCAGTGCTAGAATTGTAGAACACTAGCTGTGAGTGCCGAAATGGCAGCACCGGCTGTATGCTCCTCATGGAGTTTAGAAAGATATTGGCTGGTTGCAAAGGCCCTATAACCATGGATAATAATTTGTGAACCGCTTTCAGACGACCTACAAACTAGGTTATGATTAAGCGGTAAATAAGAACCTCAAATTATTATTATTATTATTACATTCTAGTATGACATATCACTATACAGTTTATGTAAATGGAAGAAACATTATATATTGCATGAAACATGAAAATATGAGGTTATCTTTTATGAAATTTTCTTTATTTTATGTACAGGGGTTCCGATATTGACAATGTCAGTGTGGTACGCAAAATGCCTAACCTAGAAGTATGTAGCCTGAGGTAATTATACATTTATATATTAACCTGTCAAAGATCACGTGATAACTATGGAGCATCATGATTTATGTACAGTTTATGATTATAAAATCTGTATGAAAATTGTATTTATTATTTTCTTAAGATGTTTAATGTTAGTATAATTGACCAATTCATAAGTCTCTATTGGCAGAAACATTACAATGTATAATGAGATTGTTATTGAAATGAGGTAGATTTCCTTAGAGTGTTAAATATTGGTTGGTTGGTCAACATGCAGACTGCTTGTACATGATTTGTGTGTTGACATGTACACTAGCTGGTAAATCTACCTTTGTTTTTATCTAACTAAATGATAAGGATGTTATATACTTGACTTACAAATCAAAGCCATCTTTTTAAATCATATTTGATTTTAAAACAGTCATCTTTGTCTGATATGCACAAATCAATGAATTGTTAATATCGTTTACAGTGTCAATAGCATTAAGACGTTGGAGGACTTTTCCTACTGTCCAAATTTACAAGAACTTTATATTAGAAAAAATAAGATTGAAGACCTATCAGAAATCAATCATCTTGCCACGTTGCCACGGTTACGGAATCTATGGCTTGCTGACAACCCATGTGCGGAGACAGAAAACTATAGATCAAATGTTCTCAAGACACTGCCAACCCTACAGAAATTAGACAATATTGGTAAGTCTGTCTCTCCGTCGATCATGGTGTGCAGATCGGTGATACTTATTGATATATTATCATTAAATATTGTATTTAGCAAATCTTGAAATTGTGTTTCCCTGTTAATAATGTATGAATACTCTTGTCTTGTTAAAACAACTGAATCACATTTTGGCCCAAATCGTGTAACTTCACTGTACATCTAGTATACACTGTTCATGGCCATTTCCAAGTTTGTCTATATATGCTTGACTGGGCATGTTATTGTATGGATTTGAATTGTCTTTCCATATGCTGTAAAGTACTTTAATTTCACTGTGTCAGATTTTTGCGTTTTCGTACCTGGAACTTATTCGCTGGGTCTTAAATTCACATTACTAGCTAGGTGAGCATTTCAAGCCTCTTGGATGCGTTAACATTGTGGTTTAATGATGTCAGAAGCATTCAAAGTGGGATGAAGTTACATACATTGACCTTTTGGAGTCATTATTTAATTCATGAAATCATTAATCACCAATTTTATGATGTATCAGGGTCAGTCATTGCCATCATTAACAGTTGTTATTAGTATATATATTATATATTGCCTTACTCCTTTCAGTCGTAACAGAAAGTGAAAGATCTGAATTTGCTGATACTGAACTGCTTGAGAACAACACTGAGGACCCGGACCCTGAGACGACAGGTGCAGGGATCGCTGGTATAGAGGATTCAAGTTCAGACCTCACAGAAATAAAGGATGACAGAGAACCAGAAACCTCGTTCGTTGATAAGGATCCAGAACTGGCCGGAAACTCGAGACACATGAACTTAAATGGTGATAGAGAGGCAGAGAAATCTCCTGATGAATCTGAAACAGAGGTCAAGGCTGAAACAGAGGTCAAGGATGAAACAGAGGTCAAGACTGAAACAGAGGAGAAGTCTGAGGTGAAGGACAATGACCCAAAGCCACATAAAAGTGCTGCACTGGATCCTGTAACACTGACATGGGAGGAAACAAAGTGAGTCAGACTAGTTTCAGTGGTACTGTATAGGTAGTCCACATGTATTTGGGTTTTTGTCTCACTGTAGTCCACATGTATTTGGGGTTTTGTCTCACTGTAGTCCACATGTATTTGGGTTTTTGGCTCACTGTAGTCCACATGTATTTGGGGTTTTGTCTCACTGTAGTCCACATGTATTTGGGTTTTCGTCTCGCTGTAGTCCACATGTATTTGGGTTTTTGTCTCACTGAAGTCCACATGTATTTGGGTTTTTGTCTCACTGTAGTCAACATGTATTTGGGTTTTTGTCTCACTGAAGTCCACATGTATTTGGGTTTTTGTCTCACTGTAGTCAACATGTATTTGGGTTTTTGTCTCACTGAAGTCCACATGTATTTGGGTTTTTGTCTCACTGTAGTCAACATGTATTTGGGTTTTTGTCTCACTGAAGTCCACATGTATTTGGGTTTTTGTCTCACTGTAGACGACATGTATTTGGGATTTTGTCTCACTGTAGTCCACATGTATTTGGGTTTTTGTCTCACTGAAGTCCACATGTATTTGGGTTTTTGTCTCACTGTAGTCGACATGTATTTGGGTTTTTGTCTCGCTGTAGTCCACATGTATTTGGGTTTTTGTCTCACTGAGATGAAGTAGCGGAAGCAAGACTAAAGTGTTTTTTTCCGGCAGTGTCAACATTAAGTTTTTGCGTTTAAGTTAGGTTTACTGAAAGTATAAGTACTGGACCAACCAAAGGTGGACCATAGATCTATGCATCTTGGGTAGTTCATACCAACCCATGCATCAAATGCGGGATGCGGCCTACCTTTCATGGTCCTTTGACTTTGTCAGCATCTCCATCAACATTAAGATTTTGTGTTAAAAAACTGTAAGTGCTAGACCAACCAAACTTGGACCAGAGATGCATCTTAGGTAGTACATACCAACCCATGCATCAAATGCTTGATACGGCCTAGCTACCTTTCATGGTCCATTGACTTTGTCAGCATCTCCATCAACATTAAGTTTTTGCATTTAAGTTAGTTTCTCTGAAACTATAACTGCTAGACCAAACTTGACATGTGCATTGATGGTCAAAGCAGGCCACAGGCAAGACATATCATTCTGAATGGCTTGTTTTACGTTTCAATGACACTCAACAGGGAATCTAATTTTTGGATCCTTTTATGGCTTCTCAAGAAATTCACTTATTAATGAAAGTGCTCCATGAGACTATGCAAATATAGAGTAAGGTATGAATGATTACTGGAAACCATTTGTTGTTGATGCTACTTTTATTTATAAATGTGTCAGATTTCAACAGGAATTGGTTTGCTACTGAAGTCATGAACATGAGTCAAACTATGTTTCCAGCCAATTTTCAAAATTTATATTTTCATTGAAGGCCATAAAGGAGGGTTTTCAATTACAAAAATATTTTAGCCAATCGGGGCAATAACTATTTTAAATCATTTTAGCGCAGTAAACTCAAATAAAAGTAAGGATAAAAAGATCTAAATTTTCTAATTTTGTGTCACTATGCCATATGGGGGGCTGAGTGAGACTATATGGCTCAAAGGGCTTCTGCCGTCATACAAAGTAGATCACACTCATGTGTTTTAGCGGCCCGTAGATAGTTATGTAGGATATGAATAAAGTGCAAGTAGTTTCAAAAGAATTAAATATTACAATAGCTTTTGATGGATTAGAAGATACAAATGTACAAAATAGTTTTTTTTTAAATGTTTGTGTTACACTCAATTTTTATATAATTTCAGTAAAATTCGACAAGAGGTTGGATTAAAGCCGTTACCTTACGAGAAGATTACATCTACTAGGCCTGTTCCTGGTAGTGCAATGACGTCACGGGTAAGATACCATTTCTTCAGAGTTTATTTAATACATGAACATTATATGTTCTATGTAAGGGTGGTTGGATGGTGCAGTGGATAGCGCGCTTCCCTTTCACCAAGGCGACCAGGGTTTGATTACCCGATTAAATGTGAAAAGATATGGGGTCACTGCCTGACTGTGTGGGTTTTCTCTGGGTACTCCAGTTAAGAACAGACACACACCCCTTACCTTACCTAGGCATGATATAGCTAACATGGGATTACATTACCTATCAGGGGCCAAGTTAAAAAAGTATCAACAACTTACCACAAAATTTAAAATGAGTATATTTTCAAATGTATCGAAATTCAAAGCTCAAGTTCTATGTGTAAAGTTTTCTAATGATTTTCTAATGAGAAGAAGCACAAAATATTTGTAAATTCTTAGATATTTCACAAAAACATTATTTTAAAATTTTGCATTAATTCTGATTATTTAAATATTCAACAAAGCATACATAGTGTATTAAACTCAACAAATGTGTACAAGTTTGTCTTTTGTGGGTTATATTTGACTATAGCATATTGATGTGTTCCAGAATGCCCATGTACTACAGGCAGTGTTGATACTGATACGAGAGTTAGACGATGACAGTCTGGAGACGATACAATACGCCATACAGAGGAAGCTCAACCCACCTTCTTGATCACCATCGCAGCAACTTCCCTAACTACACACAACAGCACCAACAGTCTGGAGATGATACAGTACGCCATACAGAGGAAGCTCAACCCACCTTCTTGATCACCATCGCAGCAACTTCCATAACTTCACACAATGGCACCAACAGTCTGGAGACGGCCGAGTACGCTAAAAATTCATAGTCAACTAATGTGCTTCAGACTTAATGCAAAAAAGAGACAGATTCTTATTTCATCTGTTTACGTAAGATTAAACACAGTTCATATTCAAGATAACTGATCTTTTAAGTTTGGGAAATGTTACGTTTATTTAATGTTGTTATTATTGTTCGCTCCAGAAACAACAGTAATAGAGACCTGTGTGTCACTACCTTTCATTCCTATCAGTGGTAGAAAACTTAGACAAGATTGAGGGTTAGGTGGTCAACACCTTCCTTGAAGTGTAAATATTATTTTTGAGAAGACTTCAGTGTGTTTTACTGAAATGATTTCCAGGCAGGGTGAATTTGTCGACTGTTGTTTACTGTTATATCACCACCCTGGTACACTTTCCTTGTCGGGCGTTTCAAATCAAGGTCACCCTGTACTAGAAGTTATTAAACCTCATGTTAAAATATTCAAAATGCACGAAGTTCCTGTTTTATTTTGTATATAAAGATGATATTTATCAGGACATTTTATTGAGGTGCATAAATTAATTAGATATAATTATTGTTGTATATGTCTACTACGATTTTGTGTATGTGGGTTACAAGAGATTTATTACTTTTGTGGAGACAGATAACGCCTCCAACAGTGTGAATTACTTCCCTTTGAACAGGTATGATAATATATTAGGTCGCTTTTGCATATCCAGGTTGAAAAGATTCAGGTTGTGCAGAAACATTCTGTAATAAACAAACGTGCTGGGATAGGAACTGTGCCAAACTTATAGGCAGAGGTACACATACCGGGTACATGGTTTTGGAGTTTTGTGACAAATAAATGACAGTTTATGAAGAATAATTTGTCCTTCTTCCATGCATCCACCAAATTTGGTACGATATTCTAAAATATACATGTAAAGCAACCCTATTGTATGCAGAAAGTAATGTAAACTAGCTGTAGTCAGTATTTCAGTTTTGGTCAGACACCTCTTGACCCCTTGTTACGTACATACTGAATATTCCAAAAGTTGGCCTTAGTTTAGATCTGAGTCTGCCAATTTCTCTTCAGATTCAGCTGATTTAAAAGGTTGAACTGGAAACGCAAAAGGAAACTATTTTTAGAGGATTTATCACTTAATATTTTCTGTGGCTGATATTCATTTCATCCTGATCCTCAAGCATCATTTATTCAAATCAGCCCTCTACCGTCACTTTTCAAACACAAATTAGACCATCTCGTATCTTTTAAAAGCAATCTCTTTCCATGTTTCACTCCTCGCCTGACATTTTATCTTCAAATTGTTGAAGTTGGTCAGTACAATTTAGAAGTAGAAGTAGAAACGCTCTGTATTATCAACACCATACAGCATTACATGTATTGACTGAATTTAGATCTGTTCTTGAGTAATTGTCAACACATAGAATATTTCTCACATTATCTTATGGTTTATTGAGGACTTTTCTTTATACTTTAAGATAAAGTTTCTGGTTTATTGAGGACTTTACTTTATACTTTAAGAGAAAGTTTCTGGTTCATTGAGGACTTTTCTTTATACTTTAAGATAAAGTTTCTGGTTCATTGAGTTCAGAAAGTTTTCTAAGTCAATACGAGATACCTGGTACAAAGGGAGATAACTCATGCAGTTTGACGTTATCTATGCCACAGAGAGGGAGTAATGAATTAAGGAAGTTAATATTTGTGATTTTTTTCCCTGTGATTTTGTATATAATTTTATGTATATGGTTTACAGAAGATTTATAACTTAATATATTGACCATAAGTTATTGTCTCCTGTGGTTTAGTATCCATAACCCTCACTATATTGCCGTTCGAATGGTAACCAGTTCTGAGGGATATATTTCATACTTATTTTCTCCTGCCAAGAGTAGAGAGATTATCGATTGTTGACACTCATGCAGATTTCAATTAAAATGTGGATAAAAAATAAGCTCAATGTTTAAAACATTCTGTGCACCATTTTGTGAGAGGGAAATTCAAGAGTGAGTTATATAAAGTTTTCAACATTCTTCCATTCAAAATGATTAATTGTGCAAATTTTCCATCTAGCTCAATGACATTTTTTTGTCAGAAAGTAAGTAGTATGGCTTGAAGTTTGGTTTGGTTTTGAAGTTAGCAGCATTTTCCTTAACAGACAATAAGTAACAGTTAGTTGGGACTTCAGTCACATGTTACTGCATGACTCTGTTAGCAGGGAATTTCCATTTACCTCAATTAGCAGAGCACTGGATTACCGGTAGTAATTGGTAGTCTCCTGTTATACTCCTATTAGTGAGAAGTGAGTTAGTGTTTTTTGATGTTTTCAAAAACCATTCTTGCCAAATGTAATACAAATTGACTGCCTTAGTAAAATACTTTAGTAACGTTAAATGTTCTGGAATGTAATTGATCAGCTGTTATTTACAGTACTGTTGTTATTGTACAATAGATAATAGACTGCTACCAATTCATTTACTGATCACGAAACCTTTCTTATTCTTGAAAAGACCTATTTTCAACAAACTTGTGAATAAAATACACAACATTTGTGTATTGTAAAGTTTAAAAACCATTTTATTCACTGTAACTTGTAAAGACCATTTGTTCACTGTAACTTGTAAAGACTTTTTATGTACTGTAACATGTAGACTATTTTTTTCACTGTAACTTGTAGACTATTTGTTCACTGTAACTTGTAGACTATTTGTTCACTGTAACTTGTAAAGAGATAATTTGTTCACTGTAACTTGTAAAGACTTTTTTATGTACTGTAACATGTAGACTATTTTTTTCACTGTAACTTGTAGACTATTTGTTCACTGTAACTTGTAAAGACCATTTGTTCACTGTAACTTGTAAAGAATGTGTTCACCTAGTTATTTTGGCACTCTCATATTTGTGCATTTTAATTTTTAACAGATAAGTGCATTGATGAATTATGATTTAACACAATATTTAAAGCATGCAAAGTGCTGAAATACAATTGCTGCTGAGTTAAGTACAGGGTCAGTAACGTAGATGACTTCATGCTTTTAGTGCACATTTGAACAGGAATCATATTTTTGGTAGGAAACACTTCCTACACTTCCACAGTAAAACATTGTTCTTACCCAATGGACATCAGAAATTTTCCTCTATTGCCAAATAGTAACAGAATTTGGTGTACTCGAAAAAAATCTTTGTCATGGGATATTGATGTCCCAAAAAGTAATTTGTGAGATAGTCATTTACCCGGTATAACTATAACTTGGTCCTCAGAAGAAATGACTTCCATGCCTTCTTATGATTTGATAAACCTGATCAAGTCCGAGTCTACACCTGGAACGTATGTATTGTATGTGTCATTCATAGCCATTCATAGACTAGAATATCTAAAACACTATTTTGCCTCAAATTTCTTACTTTTGTTCCGTCCAGTTTGAGGATTAATCCTGCATGATGTGATATTCATTATTTGCAATACTTTTCACATTTGCAAAACTGTATTTTATTTTTTGTTTTCATTGTTTAAAATTACATGCATTTACTTCATTGTGATCTACTTGTATTGCCTTAAACTTTTCTCTGAATGTACCATTATTAATGTAAAATTCCAAGGTGTGCTCATAATAAGTTTATTTTTATAAATAGGTTTCATTAGTGTTCAAAACAACTTCATCATATCAAATATACATCGTCATCATTAAGAAAAAAGATGGTATATTTTATACCTATGTATTACTTCATCCTCTTGGCGTTTAGACATTTAGTATTTAACCCTTCCAACCCTAAGTTACTTTAGTAGACTCTGCCATGCATTGGTATGGATGAGTCCATTATGGTCTACAGTGGTGAAAGGGTTAAATGCTGCTGTTCCTCTCTGTACTTGATCTGTTTTGAGCTTAACATAAAGGAACTGCCTGTCCTGAAACTGAAAAAAATGTACACAAATGTACCTTTCTTTTCAAATGAGGTCATGAGTCAATAAAAATGTAATTTCATGTATTCCGTCTTTGCGTATTGCAGAGTTATCTTCTCTTGAGAGCAGGTATTGATTGTTATGTCATTAGTTTGAGAAAATTACGTCGTTTTCTCAAAAAATGATGACGTTACTCTCACAAACAAATGATGTAACAATCAATACCTACTATCAAGAGAAGATAACTCGGCAATACGCAAAGACGGAAAGGCTACTTTGAGAATAAATGTACATCATCATTACAATTTTTTTCTAGATACCTGTATACAGTGTAACAGTACTATATTAACATGATGTGGAGAAAGAAATACTCAACACACTGCCACATGTTGCTGGTGAGTGAGAGATGTATGTGAATGTATTATAAGTTTTTTATTCGCTCAATGGCCTTATAGTGATACTCTAAAAAAAATGTTTTATGTCAACAAAGGCAATATTAAATAACAGTTTTTACTCCCTCAATATTCCTGGTCCTCAATGGGATTGATAGACATTTTCTATAGTTTGTCCTCATTCATGCAAATCTACATGGTTATTACATGTGTCAACTTTCCTAACAATGAAAAAAAATTATACTTAATTTCTATCCACTATTAAAACATGGAATTGAGTAGCAGGCCTATTCTATTTCATTGTATTTATCGCTAAACCTGCTGAGAAGTCGTCCTCAACCATGAAAAATGCTCAATAAAATGTTTTGTTTTGTGTCTTATTATAGAATTGTGTCTTACCAGTACATTGCACATACAGTCAAAGTTAAGAAACATCAATAACATTTACAAAAGACTCATTTCCTCCACCTGGTATACAGGAAGTTGATCATGTGTGCAACCATATTTATCCATTGACAACAGATTGAGCAACCCACTGTTAAAGATTGCAAGTTTTAATTCTGTGCAATATATATATCACCATTATGTAGATGAGTGTGTGGAATTAACATTTTGTGGAAGTTATCTGTCAACAGTTTGTTGTGTACTGACAAGTACAACACTGAAGTACTTTGTACACTCACCGATGGTTCTTATCTGTCAACAAGTTGTTGTGTACTGACAAGTACATCACTGAAGTATTGTGTACACTCACCGATGGTTCTTATCTGTCAACAGTTTGTTGTGTACTGACAAGTACAACACTGAAGTACTGTGTACACTCACCGATGGTTCTTATCTGTCAACAAGTTGTTGTGTACTGACAAGTACGACACTGAAGTACTTTGTACACTCACCGATGGTTCTTATCTGTCAACAGTTTGTTGTGTATTGACAAGTACGACACTGAAGTCCTGTGTACACTCACCGATGGTTCTTATCTGTCAACAGTTTGTTGTGTATTGACAAGTACGACACTGAAGTACTGAGTACACTCACCGATGGTTCTTATCTTGTGGCTTTAGTCTCCATTTATGTTAAATAATTAGTGAATGTTCAATATACATGTACATTATTGTATGTATATATATATCACAGGTTCTTCAATCAATTCCAGCCCACTCCCTCTATAAAAATAGCCTTGAACTAGCTGCATACCTTCACCGGTGCTAGACTTGCTAGTCCATTGTTTTTTAAGTGAGAGTGGGGGTTTGATTTAAGCATACTCCGGTATGTGATATATGAAAATGATGCAAGTCCGTATTTAGTCTGATACAAATGCATGTGTGAAGGATTTAGGATATATAAGAATTGATATTTTGATGTTTGTAAAGTTTCCGTCAATCCATATATGCCCTTTATCATACTATATATATATGGTATTAATATTGTTATATTGAGGATATCTAGGTCAAAGTTACCAGTGCCTGAAAGAATGGGACCAACTTTATTGATTTGGCCTGACCACACCTTTACCATCCTCGATACTCCAGGGGTAACGCTCACTTTCACTTTATGCACCCCTTGAATATGTCATAGTAAAAATTGAAGGCTCAGTGTGCACCACCTTGTTGATGAGACAAGAAGACTAGTTTGATCCTTTGATGTACATCAGAAGAATCTCGCGGTCACGTAATGGTAAAACTTTCTGGCTTTGAAGTCGGGCGTCGCTCCTCTGTAACCTTTAAAGGACATGTATCATCCTAGTGATTGGTCAGGTATTTTTACCCGAGACCAATCAAATAGCTAGCCACTTGCCTTCAATTTTGCTATGACATATTCCAGCTGGAATGCAGTCTGAGTGAAAGTAAGCGTAACCCCTTGAGTATCCAGGATGCACCTGTTTGGACAGCATGTGAAATGTTGCTCTCCCACAATTTTTTAGGTAGGTCATTGCTGTTAGCCATACATTTATGTTTCCTACTTATTTCATGCTCATGTGGGCAAGAGTTGAAAATATGTTCCTTCTGGTTTTTGGACCAACCCAAAGAACCATTGTTGGGGTATCAGGTTATAGTAGTTTTGTGTTGATAAATAATCTTTATTCATTTTACAACAAGATGGTAGTGCTGGGGGTCTTTATGTGGGAGGAAACAAAAGTACCCGGAGAAAACCCACATGGTCTGGCATGTGACCCCCATACCAATTTATGTCTAAACGGGGAATCCGACCCCTGGCCGCCTTGGTGAAAGGCAAGTGCGCTATCCACTGCGCCACCAGACAACCCTTTGTGTTGATTTTAACACCTTGTGGGGAATATTTAAGCTGTTTTCTGCACAAGCATGTTTCAATGAATGTACTATACTATGTTTGTCAATGACCATGAAATGAGGTCTTTATCAAGACGGATGGAATTTAACCAAAATGTAAAAGTTCGCAAAATATTTCAGGTATTAATTTCTTTATGATACAATAGTTGCTACAAAGGTACGAAAATATACAAACGATCATCTTGAAATGAATCGTCATGTGATACAGATGTGTATCCTCAATAAATAATGTTTATTATTATTATGTGTGATACAGTACAACGCCTGTAATACAACTACCCGGTATATTTCAAATATTGATGAAAATCTGTGGGATAAAATATGTATCATTGTTTATAATTGTGATAAGTTTGCCTGTATATTCTGCTTCTAGTTTAGAAAAAGGTGTTGAATTATTGTAAGTTTTAATAATCTGGTCACAAAATAGTTACACGTATTATAAGTGTGTGTTTAAAATCACTGCATTTTTTAAAATTTATTTATGTAGACATCAAATCAAAATAGTTTTGCTTAATTTGGAAATTAGTTTTTTATGCAAATCAGCTTCAAGTACCTTTTTTACGGTTTAGTGAAATTAAATTACATGTATGCAAATGTGTGTATGATGTTGCATATGTCATTCTGCCTGTGTTATCAGTGAACAGCAGATTTGTCCTTCGCTTGTTATAAATAATCAGTAAAACTTATTCCAACTCATTGCCGTGTTTACTTTATTTGTTGTTGGGGCTAAATGTAGAGCAAAACAAGGCAAAGTATTGCAGACAAGGAAAAAATGCAGTATCTTATAACGATACATTTTTTCATTCTGAAAAAATGATGTCTGAACATCACTGTTTACATAATGTAATGCTAAGTGCCTCAACTCTGACCGAATATATGAATCTAGATGTATATATTTCTGAAGGAGATCTCCCTTATTCTAGGTGTCAACCTCTGAAACCTCCAATGAAGGAGATCTCCCTTATTCTAGTACATTTCCAATGAGGGAGAAAGTGCGTGAAACGCGACTGAAACTACTTCGCTCAATTTATCTTTCCCTTCTTGTGTATCAAAATAACTCCAAAAAGCATTCATTTGATTCAGACACACCTGTTATGATCATGACACGGTGACACCCTGCACTAACTTAAGGAGATCATTTGACCACATGTGAGGATGTAGATTTTGAGTTTGTGCGAGATTGGACTTCAATGAGGGAGTTCCGAGGGAGATTGGTAAATTTTGGTCAAAATGAGGGAGAGTTAACAGCTATGTATCTGTTAAAATAGGAGAGTATATATAATAAATCAGTTTATTTGTTTATTTATTTGATAGTCTTAGTGACTGGCCAACAACAATAATAACTACCCTTAAGGATATTTAATTTCTTAAGATGAATTGCTGAAATTTTACCACTTAACACCAAGACTATCATTAGCTTGGTACTGATTACAAATTCATAAGTACTAATGTACAAGAATATTTTAAATGTTGAAATAACTTGGCCCCAACGTTAACACTCATACATGTATATATAACACTTTTGTCTTTAGACTCCAGTAATATACCAGTAAACACAGTTTTACTTCATATTAAGTTTGTGACTTTCTCAAGCAGATGACATAGTGAAAAAGGTCAATATGTATGCCATGAGAGTTCGAGTGCAACGCTAAGGATATAACAAGGCAAGGGTAGAGCCAACACCGTGGTTTTCTTAATGGTGGAATAATTTGGTCCTTTGCTCCTCGTCTGGATACCCGAAAGTATGCAGGGGATTGAGTAAAAGTGAGAACATCATAAAATAGATTCAATCACAACAGGCAATGGACAAAATTATAGGATATTTCTATCCCTGAACTACTAAGGATATAAGATATGGATTTTTGAGGGAATTTCTCACACCTTGAAAGTTAATTGAAAAATAATAATATCAGTATATTTATGAATCTCAATTGCACACAGTTTAAGTCCATAATATACCAATTGCATAAACAAATTTAGAGATATTAATCACATTAATTACATTATTAAAAGGGCTAAAGAAATACCCCCTTTGGAGCCCCAGTAGGTGATGTCCGGATTTAACCGGTTTGTTTTTTGTACTTAATCTTGAAAGTTCAAGGTCGATCATTCGGAACTCATCTATTTCTATTTTGAATCGTTCTTTGATAGTAGAAAACATCCGAGTATATACGAGTAGAAATTATTGCACCACAAAGTGGCAAGGAGTTGTGCAATAACATTTAGACCCACTATATATACCCAAGATTAAAGTTGAAGAGACATCCCTTTCCAACGTCTGGGGTGGACGACACATCGAAGAGGGAACCCCTCCGTTAGTTTACTTTCTAACTTTCTTTTTCATTCCTCTCCAGTACGCTTGGTGCTTGTGAACTTTTGTTATCGCCCACATCCAAAGTGATCGAAGTCCATTACCCAACCAAGTTCATAGACATCGTAAGTATTCCGGTGAACTTTTGTTTAGTGCCAAGTTTGTTGGAAACCGTGGAGGAACTGACAAGCTTACCAAGTCAAGGGAAGTTCTATCATATTATGTTCAATAACCCTCAAAGTATTTGTCAATACTACAATACTGCGAGAGGTTGCAAATTTGGGACTAACTGTAAATTTTCACACGTCAATATTCCATCTTCTCATCCAGCAAATATAAATAAAGATGAAACAGTAAAAAGGAACTCGGAGTCTACCCCTCAATCAGCAGCCCTATATTCCAATCCCCCTATCGATCATAGCCATGAAGAAGCAGTAAGAAACACAGTTGTTACCCAATCTCCTGGTTTGGAGACGAGCAGTCACCTTTCTTTAGAAGACGCTGAAGAAAATGAAGTTAAAGCAAAGCGTTGTTTTCAACACTATAAGTATGGACACTGCCGATTTGGTGCCAAATGCAGATTTATTCATTCAGATAATTTGAGGAAATCAGACCAAGATGAAGAGAAGAAAAGCACCCAACAGGTAAAGATACCTTTACCAGAATTAGCAGCAGACACCACACCAACTGTGGACAAACATGATGGATCCAAGTCAGGGAAGAAGACGAAGACTCCCGTGACATGCCGCTATTTCATAGCTGGTCGATGCAGAAGTGGAAACAAGTGTAGGTTCTATCATCCGCGTGGAAACGAAAAATTAGGTGGTACTTCAGCTTACAAAACTTCACAGGAGGATGACGTATCCGAACAGACAAGTCCCAAGGAAATTTCTGGAAAGGGTGAATCAAAACCTTCAAAAAATCCTAAAGTTACTGTTGCCACCAGACCAGCATTTAAACCCCCAGCATTAAAGAGAGAAATTAGCCGTGACAAAGCCGGCAAGGATATCATTGAAAAACTTCAGACAACAGAAATAGCTCAGCTGAAGAAACGATTTCCTACGGATAAATTGAAGATTGTTAAAGAATCTGATGATGGCGAGAACATTTATTGTTTGAGCTTCAAACCAACTGATCCAGACTGGGTAAGTACCACTGAGATAAACACAGATGTCTTTTCAATAAAATTCCAGATATATCACCATATTAAACAAAATATGAAATTCCTGCAGGCAAATTAATCTAGTGAATACTGTCAGTACACTTGGAATGAAAAAAAAGGAAATTAAAACTTCCAAAGTTGTACATTGGCTCTGAATCAGATTTATAAAAATGTGATTTATTTTACAGCCGTTTGATGTTGATGTGTATGACATCCAGCTGACATTTCCTCCCAGTTACCCTGTTAAGGTAAGTGTAGACAACACACCTGTTAATAATGACCATTCTGTGTCATTGAATACAGAAACTTTAAAATCAATTTAAACTCTACCTGAAATTTGTATGATAAGCCAACTGACACATTGTACCTAATAATGTTAGACAAACTAAATTTTGAGACCATAATAAAGCTGTTTTATGTAAATGTAAGTACATGTAAATCAAATAAAGAAGAATAAAGAAACTTGACAAAAAGATGAGTCGGTATTGACAATACGAGTGACAATTTGTGTATATGTCAGAAAATGTTTCTTCAGTAATAGTGCTGATGCCTTTGAAATAAAATAACAATGAATTATATCCAATATATGTTTATCGTTATCTCACAATACAAAATTGGTCTTCAGATGTTCAAGGCAGAAGTACCAACAGATCAGGATCTTCCTGAAACCTTGAGAAGGTGAGTTTACGTCTTCAGACAAATCAGTAACTTTTGTGAATGCCTGTTTAATCCAGCCACCTCAATTACCAGTGAATGTAGTTGGATTGTTAGGTAGCTAGTTTAAAGAAACAATTCAGTACAGTAAAGAAAATACCAGTCTTTCCTGAAATTTCTAAATCTTAATTTTTAAATCTAATAAATGGTGGTAAAAAAAGTGAACCAGTAATGGTGGTTTCATCTTCGCAAGCAAAGGTGGATGATCCAATACGATCCGGTCTTCCTACCCTTCAAGGGTAGGTAGATAGTATCGGATCATAACCCTTGGCTAGCGAAGATGTGGTTATAATGACAATACTAAATTCAATTCCATTTATTTGCAATGTATACAATATAATTATAATATATTCGAAAATATTCATGAAAATATCCTTTATACATATATATAACTACTTGCAGTAAGAAATTAAATGATCATTTCTTGGGCTTTATTTAAAGGTATGTGGAGGCGTCCATCTGTGAGTGGTTGAACCATAAGGAGACCGAGCTGGAGAATCGTGGCGTTCTGGAGCTCACATTTCGTCCGTTCATTCACTGGTTGGACAAAGAGATGGAGGATATTGTTACTGAGGGCCTTAAACAGGTAATGTCACACCCCTTGTTATATCTACTGGATTGTGTTGTGACGAATATATTCAGCTGAGTTTCATAATTTCTTAACATTCTACTGTGTGATAATAAACATTTCTGTAAAAGGAAAAACTAAAGAGTTAATGCATAATTAATGGAAAAATTTCGGTTGTGAAAATTTTGTTAAGCAATAGGGGTCAAAGTTCACTTTTCTGAAAATGTGAACATTGAACATAAAATTATCTCGGAGTTATAAATATTCATGTGTTTTCAACAGCTTCAAAGGGAATTGATGGCCAAGGCTGCAGGCTTCGAATTCATCCCTGCCAGTGTGTTGAGGGAAAGACTAAGGGGAAAGAACTCTGACGGATCTGAAGTGGGGGAGGAGGATGCTACAGAGAGTGATGAGGACAGCGACTCGGAGAAAGACATGGAAAATGTTGTTGCTTATAGAAAGAAGGATGAAGAGCAAGTCTATACAGGTATGTTATCAAATGTTGCATGTCCTTGTAAATAATTAGAACATTACTATGCAATATGGAAAAGTGTATTTAAGTTTTGCCATTCAAATAGATATGTTAACAATTTTCATAGTTGATAAATTCTTAAAAATGTTTGATTTAGATATGAAATTAAGAAGGATAATTTCATCACAAGAATTTGTTTAAAAAAGGAGAAGTAAAAACCTATTAGAAAGTCATTAACTATTAAAGCTATGTAAACTTATTTATAAAACTCATTCCTGTGGTCCACAGGTCCGGAAGCATACAGCTCAGATGAAGATGACACGGATGACTTAGACGTTGTCACAGGAAAGTTTGAGGAGGCTAACCTAAATGCTGAAAGAAGAGGAACAGAAATCAGACTCCGCAATCTGGTGATGAAGGAGACTGTCGCCACAATGACCTACACACAGATCAAGATTGTTGTCCAGTGCTCCCGTTGTAAAAGCAACACGGACCTCATGACCCCTGTTGGTAGAGTGAACTTGATCCCATGTTTCAAGTGTCACACTCAGATGCTGTTGACTTTCCGACCAGCCATTATGCATTCTTACTCCTCCATCATGGGGTACCTTGACCTTGAGGGATGTGTTCCATTTGACCTCCTTCTGCAGGACTCGGCCTACAAACTTGGCTGCATGAACTGTAACAAGGAGACTAAAGTTGATGTAAGTATATATACCAAAAACTTTAACCCATTCACCCCTGAAGGCACACTTGAACTCTTCCAATACAAGGATTGGAATAGTTCATTACGAAATTTCAGGGGTGAATGAGTGCATATGTTCTTTCCTACTTATGATGACTAGAACTGTCTTAAAAATCTGAAGTTTTACATTTTCCGTTATTTTTTTCACCTGGAGGAGATAAAACATGGATTCAAATATTTAGAAAATTGTTTGGAAAACGAAACGGGTACATAGAGAAGTTTGCTGTACTATGATGTTGTTTTGTTTGACATATTTGAATGTTCTTCACGGTTGTACTACTTGAGATCCTGATTTATAAATACTTTTGTTTGTCCACAGAGCCTGTACCCTGGTCAGCCAATGGACACCTGGTGTAAGTCCTGCCACCAGAAACTGCGAGTGGCAGCGGAGGACGCCAAGTTCACCTTGCTGCAGTCTACAGGGGTAGAAACAGGTGGGTAGTCTTGTCACACAGGAATACATGGATAGTAAGACCTTCTTGTTGAAATAGAAGATGATTCATTTTTCTGATGTTTAATGAATAGCAAAGCACAGAAGAAAAAAATCAGGAAAATTCTGACATGTAAGCGCTGGGAATACAAACACTTTAATTTATAAAGTATGTAGTGTTCTAGGCACCTGAATTTGAGAAGGTCGGTCTCATGCATGTTTCACATCTTAATTCAATGTGTATAGGTAACCTGGGAAAACTCGGTTTATATTAGAAAAGAGACAAAAATGTTACAAAATTTGAAGCTTTTGTAAAAAAATCCTTTCTTTGAATTTGAAATGACTTGGTTTCAAGCAAGAATTTGTACAATTAAAGCATGATTTGTTGTTAAATTACTTCAAATGGCATAAACTGACATACAATTTCAGTAAGATTTATTGTCAAGTGTTTATGTTCCTGCAGAAATATTTATTCTGTTTTGTCAAGGGCCTTTCAACATCTGTAAACATTTTATCCACAGAAAAAAAAGAGGTGCATGAAGTGAGTGTCAAGAAAGTGAAACGGATCGTCAAGGACCCCGTCATCAGATTCGGAAACCCTCTCCCTGACAACGGCACCTGTAAACACTACAAGAAAAGCTTCCGCTGGTTCAGGTATTAAACCTATTAAGGATGTATATATAACTTAATCATCAGTGTAGCTCCTTACCAGAAGTTTTCACTGTAAGACAAAGGGCCACTTTCGTTTATCGTGATCAAAACGGTCGGACCAGGGTTGTTCGTTTATGAAACAATGTCGGACCTACTAATCAGATACTGTTTTCAGACGAGGCTTGACAAAGCCTTGCAAGGCCTGCATACACTTTTGCAGGTCCGCAAGGATTTATACCAAAACGTGTTACATTTAAACAAAGACAAACCTACTGTTCTGCATAAACAAACAGGCCCTTTGCTAGCATAAAGAATGATGTTGCTTTATTCCATGTCACATGGGGTCATATTCACAAATAATAAGACGTCTCGTGGTGTTCCATTCTTTTATTATACGTACAAAAAACCTGTAAACAAACAAACACACTCTTACACCCTGAACAATGGAACAGACTATAACATAAACATAGAAACTGAACAGCACAACAAGGGCTTTAAAGAAACATTTTATATTTCTGTGTTCACTGTAAAGCAATTTTACCATTAAATGTTCTTCTGTCTTCTGTAATATATCAGTTTTATTTACATTTCGCTCTCCCGACAGGTTCCCGTGCTGTGGGAAGTGTTACGCCTGTGATCTTTGTCACGAGGAGAGAGAAGATGGACATGAGATGGTGCTAGCCAATCGAATGATATGTGGCTTTTGTTGTCGGGAACAACCTTTTGCCCTTGAGAGACCATGCCTGTCCTGCGGTCACTCGATGACTAAGTCCACTACTCACCACTGGGAGGGAGGGATGGGTTGTCGCGACAAGATCCGCATGGGCAGGTGAGTTATCTAGTCTTTCCATTTTCATTTCAAAAACCTTAACCTAATACAGTTTTCAAAAACTGACTGATTAAAAATGATTAACACAAATGAAATTGCATCAAAGATATTTGATATCGCTGTTATACAAAACTTTTCATGCAATTAAACTTGAGTAGTTGAGGATGATGGGAAATATAAAACTTCAGTTTTTATATTTAAGATATTTAGATAAAAAAATGTTAATAAGATAATTTCATTGCTCAATAATGTTAAATAATGTATTGAAATTTGAACAATAAGAACCAAGTGAAGAATATTCTTGAAAATTCAAATAGATGTGCTATAGGATTTTGAATAATGTCCTTGGGTTTAGAGGATTAAGGTTAATGAATAGTGTAATGTAAATGTTAAGCAATATTTTATTGTATATTAGAACTAAAATACAACATAACTTTTACTTTTGTTTCGTTGTATATACTTTGCCAGGTGTTGTAACTGAAATATTTGTTTTCCAGGAATGACTCACAGAAATATGCAAATATGAACAAGACCATATCAAGAAAAGCGATTGAGAAAAAGCAACCAAACAAGAAGAAAAACATCAAACTTAGGCATTCTTCTAATTAGTCTACCCAGCTGTAAAATTAGACATCAGCTACAGTACATTTATTTGGACTGCCTGAACATGGAACAATTAATGTACAATAAATGAATCGGTGTGATAGTTCTTGCATTGTATGAAACCTTTTCATATCAGTTGTCAGATATTGTGAAGTTTTGTCATTAAATAACACAGCAACTTGCATACATGGGTTCCAGCCACAATCATTGGTTATTTCCGTATCTAGCAAGTATGACTAGTGAAGTGTGCTTTGTATGTGTGTGCATCAAAAAGTGCTTTGTAAATAATATTGAATATGTTAAAAAATGAGTATAGAGTTATATAATGGACACTTCAAGCTATTTGTTATCTTGTATGTAAAACTATATAAGTTTAATCCTCCCAGGGTACACTACGGCAGTATCTCCTTTAAAGAGGTAGCAAGGCTCCCTGGCAGAATGTTCACTTATTGGTTGAAACGTCAGCAGTTTGAATTATGCCAGATAATGTTTTACTCCTATTTGTCTAGTCAACCCAGCTGTACTAATGGGTACTGTGTTGATGTAACTGTTGACATTACAGTTATATAAGTAGGAAGTGTCTGTTTGACCAGAGAGGAAGTATACACATCATTTAGAAGTGTACTTCAGACAATAAAAGATTATCATTAAGATGCTGATTTTGTCATAATGTTGCTATAAAGATCGAGACAAATCAGAATTTTCATTTGTGTGAAACTGGTTAAGAATGAAGTTGTTTGTTTGATACAGTGGTACACTAATACATTGTCACCTAAAAGTTATAATAATACGTGTTTAGATTTAACATTTTCTTTGGATAAAAATTGAATTAACTCATTTACCCCTGAAAACACATTTGAACTCATCCAATTCAAAGGTTGGAATAGTTCATTATGAAATGTCAGGGGTGAATGAGTTGATAAGTTTAGGAACATTAATTCTTATTTCATGCAGTGTATTGATTTTGTTTATCATAATGTTGTGTCTCTGTATATGTATTATTTTTAATGATACTAAATCCCCACGTGGCTCTGTGGGGTGCATGTGTACAGTCTCTTTGTCTCTGGGGGAGATTGATTATCTCTAAATACCCTTGCTCCGCCCCCTAACACTACTATAGTGGGGGCCCTGAGGAGGGTCCCCGGGACAAGAGATGTTGGTACGACATGTTATATACAGTTTGACCGCCGGAACATGGCGGCCAGTTCAATGTTTGATGAGCAGTGGAGATAGTCAAGCATGCTCTTTGGAATAGATCTTTTTAAAACTAAACAGCTTTAGGGTTAAGTAAATTAATTGCAAGTTAATAACTATTTTAGGTGTTATAAATGAACTGTTTCAGTGTTTAGATATAGATCATAACAGGAATTGTGTGTCTAACCTGTACATGTATCCTTTCATTGGGTTGTCATTTTGGATTGATACTAAATATTGTTACAGTCACTTTTCAATAGAAAGTTGACTGGAAAAAGCCTTCCATCATTTGTTTGGTTGTTCAATATTTATTGTTATTCCTAAATGTAACCCAGACGTAAAATGTGATACACAAATCCCCACATGGCATTGTGGGGTACATGTGTACAGTCTCCATGTCTGCGGGGGAGATTGATTGACATCTCTAAATACCTTTGCTCCGCCCCCTAACACTACTATAGTGGGGGCCCTGAGGAGGGTCCCCGGGACCAGAGATGTTGGTATGTCATGTTGTGTACAGTGTAGCTACCAGAACATGGTGGCCAGTTATCACATTATGGTTGTGATCTTTTTTTCAAAACTGAAAGTTTTTATAAGCAATCAGCATAACAAATGGTAAGAATTCCTCTTGAGATGTTTTATATGAATTTGTACATGTACCACTGAGTGTTAAATGTGTATTGAACCAATTTCATGTGTATTATTGCTGGGTGCTTACTGCTATATGATGATCAATTGTTTAAAATTTAATGTTGATCTATTTTCAATAAATGTTAAGTAAAACCATAAACTTTGTATTGTTTGTTTTTGATTGTGTGACATATATATAATGTTTGATGTTGACCTAAGTTTTGGCTTAGCTTTACTATAACCATTCAACTTCTATTCTTTGCTTTTGCAAATGATACAAATTATGAAGTATAAAAGGTCTAATTGGCCTGTATCACTAACCTGCTATTCATGCTATTGGCAAAGGTATCGAACACAATGACCTTTTAAAGTGAGTCCAACTCCAATTTATATAGGCAAACCTGATGGCAAGCATACAAACTCTACATGATAAATACCTTGTATCATATATCTTTGTTGGAAGATTTTTTCACATTTTCTTACTCATTCAACATTTAAAGTAGCCAAGGTCAAATAAGTTGGCCTTGAATGGAGGTCAAGGTCAGAATTTCTCTCAAACACTTCATGGTCCGTTATTCCAGTAAGTTATTGATCAAATAATGTTTATCTAAGTTAATTGAATCTTCAGAACAAGTGGTTTAGATATTGTAACATATTCAACCCTTGTGACCTCAAAAGTGCATTGAAGGTCATGAATTCAAACAAACTTGATAGTCCTTCATCCCAGCATGCTACTGGCTAAACTCGTTGGTTATTCAGTAAAAGTTGTAAACAGGTTTATAGACTTCGATTCAAGTGGCATTGAAAATGGGTCAAGGTCATGTATTTTGAACAAACTTGATTGGCACTTGTCCCAGCAAACCAAAGGTCAGACATAATGACTTCAGTCCTCTTTGTTTCAATTCAGCAGAAGTTTTTACAGGTTTTAATAAATTTGATCCACGTGACCTTAATATTGTGTCAATGTCTTTTATGTGAGCAAACTTGATAGCACTTCTTCCCAGAATGCTATTAGCCAAATATGATCCCAGGCATCTTGGTTTTCTGGAAGGAAATCATTTCAAGTTTTCACCATATTTGATCCCTCGGAGAGAAGGTCGTCCATTTTGACAATTTAATAGCGATTCGTCGAAGCATGCTATATATCTACAGGCCAAACATTATGACCTTGGTCCTCTTAGTTATTTTGAAGAGAGGTCCGATCATTACAGGTTGGCCTTGAATGTGTGTCAAGGTCATTTAATTGAATAAACTTTTGAGCCATTTCTTTATGAATGTTACTGGCCAAATATCATGACCCAAATTAAGCATAATCTTGTTTACAACCAGATGAATGTCATTTGAAGATTTTGCTCTATTGAACTATATCATCTTGAAATTTGGGTAATGCCATTCACTTAAATGAATTTTGTCATCCTTTAATTCCAGCATGGTACGTAGGTCTACAGGCAGATGTCATTAAGTTCATATGCAATTGACCAGCAGCATGCTATTTGAAGGGATGTGGTAATTTATAATCTTGGCCTCTTGGTTTATTCAGACACATTATTAAAAAAAACATATTTGACCCCATTGACGTTTCCAGTGTGTTTTTATGTCGATAGCTTGAACGTAGGTCAATGTCATTCATTTGAACAAATTTGTTAGTGTTTAACCTCAGCAGAAGAAGTCATTTAAAGGTTTCATCACGTACAGAGACATAAATTAATAATATGTCTCTAATTTAAAGAAGGTTAATGTCATGCATTTGAGCGACCTTGACCTGTTTTTAAAAAAAGTACATGTAATTATCAATTGATAATGAAATTTTATTGAAAATATAGCATAAACATTCAAACATATTATCTAAAACTTGACTAATGAATATGCCATAGTTACCGAAGTTTGGTAAAATTTATAAAAGTTTAACTGGGACTCTTAATTTTAGTACGAGTTACTTCCCTTGAATTACATTTTAACTAAAAATTGCAGTCGTGATCTCCACAAAAATACACATGATTTAGGTATTTGCATCTAAGTCAAAATAAGTGGACGATATAACACCAGTTGGACCCTAAACGGGCTCATGGCAATCTTAATATTGGACCGTTTACGAATCCCCTTCAGAGAGCCCCTGTACATTTTAACGGAAGTGCCACAGGAACTGTTTTGAAAGCGAGGCTATTTCTACTTTCTGATTGACTTCAGACTTGTGTAACATGCACACCTCAAGGTAAGATAAAAAGAAATTTGTTAATGCCACAAACTTACGTCTTGATGGAAATAATGTTGATCAAATCGACGAATATATCCTTTGGAATTGTATTAATAATCTCTGGTGATCAACATTGTTCGAAGAAGGTCACTGGACAACGACAATGTGAAATTACCAAAAGGGTGACCAGTGGTCACTTACATAACAGCATCTAAATGTCCACTGAAATCCACAGGTGCTGGACACACTAATATGAAATATATATACTATGTAATAGTACTATTATATAGAATATATACACATAT